CACACACACACACACACACACACACACACACACACACACACACACAATTGAACAGAAATTGCAAACAGTTCCTGTACATCCACGCACACGCACTCTTCATCTCCCATTTTTTCCCTTATCCTTACATAAATATAAATAAACGTTCTCGTGAGTAGAGAACGCGTCCATCCACATCTTCTGTTGAAAATAGATTAGATAATAAATTACATATTCCCGATGTGGGACAAGGAAAACGGGGTTGCATTGTTTGTTCTGAAAGGAAAACACCTGGTAGCAGACGTCAAACAATTTATTATTGTCAAACGTGAGCAAATCAGCCTGTAATGCATATTGGGGGGTGTTTTAAGCTTTATCATACTGTACAAAATAATAAAAATTAAATATTGATTTTGTTTCCAAATATTATTTCTCGATGTCAACCAATTAATAAAAGTCCAATATTATTAGAATCCGTTACTTAGTTCCAAAGCTGTAATATTGGGTTGGCAAGTAAATAATAACGGATTTTGTTGATAGGTGGACTTTTAAAATCAGCAATGTCTTAGTTGCCAACCCAATAAATAATACGAGGGTCTGTAAATGCACGTTTCTGCCACAAAGTCGTGTTGACAATGACGTTCAGAATGGTTCGAAGTTCAAAGGATTAAATTTATTCTTCTTCAATTATAGATGCACGAAAACTGGAGTAAGATGTTGGTGCTAAATGGAAATATGGTCACGGATACTTTCTTTTTACTCAGTGGTGTTCTCCTAGCTTACACCGAGGTAATAAAAAAGGAAAAAAGTACTGAGTGGAAGTTTGACGTTGTAGGTCTTTATCTTCACCGTTATGCAAGGTATGTATAAAACGAGTACCAACATAATCTACAAGTTCAAGTTAAAAATGATAAATCAATTGTAATGTACGTTATTTGCAGATTAACGCCAGCATACGCAATGATGATTGGTTTTTATGCAACTATATACTACAAATTTGGAAGTGGTCCTCATTGGGATACCTGGGTTGGTTCAAATCAAAATTATTGTCGTGACAATTGGTGGACCAATCTTCTTTACGTTAACAATTACGTCAACGTAGCCGACATGGTATAATCCATTTATTCAATTGGAAATAATGTTTTAAAAAATCCTATAGATTCATCTTTTGTTTAACTTCATTCTTAAAAAACTGTTTTATAGTGCATGTCCCAATCATGGTATTTGGCAGTGGATATGCAATTGATTTGGTTGTCACCAATTTTTCTTTACCCGATGCTCAAACCAATGAGAAGAATATTTTTCTGGATAATAATCGGTGCAGCCTTCGTATTATCGATACTTTTACCCTTCGCCATGACATTTTTTAATCGATTTACCGCAACTATGTTATATTACAAGGAACAAAGTGATGTAGCTAATGTTTTTTTATACATCTACACGAGAGTATACACCAGAGCAGGACCTTACATCGTTGGTTTAGCACTTGGTTATTTATTGGCTAAAAGAAAGTTTGATGGTATCAAGTTAAGAAAGGTAAGCTAATGTTTTTTGCAATCAAATGAACCTTAAAAACAATCGTCCTTACATCTAAAGATGTTAATTTGTTATATAGCTTTACGTAGTCATTGGATGGTTGGTCGCCATTGTAGTAGCAATCTCAGCAGTTTTTGGTGCACGAGAAATGTATTTCGATGATCATCCATACAATAGATTAGAGGCCAGTTTTTACGCAGGGATGCACAGACATGCATTTGCATTGGTCGTTTCTTGGATTATTTTCTGTTGCGTTTATGGATATGCAGGTATATTATATTGTGTTTATATATTTTCTATCCATGTTTATATAGATAAAAGAGAAAAGTGGCAATAAACGAATCGATTTGCATAGGGCTAGTTGGAGAATTACTTTCTTGGCGAGGCTGGGCACCTCTAAGCAGATTAACTTACAGCGCTTACCTTTGTCATTACGTCTTTATATTATCCCGAGCCGGAAGTGTGCGCACCACCGGCAATTTAACGTCAATGAGCGTGGTAAGCATGTGCGATCTTCTGCGATAATGTTATAAAAGAGAACGAATGAACACTATGACGATAATAATATTATTATACATATTAATACTTGATAAATAGATAGATAGATTTTTAACTCGTTAAGGATGGCACCTCTAGTGTGACCGCTTAAAAAAGCTGATTTTGGGGAATTTTTTGTAAAGAAAACTACTGCATGGAATGTTTCAATACTTTTTAAGGAGATATTCGTGGATATTTAAAGAAAATACGACCAAATTTTTGGACTAAAATATTGAAAATTAAGCGAGTTATTCACAATCTCTCTCAAGGCCTAAACAAGTTCCCTCACTGCTACAGTTATAACGATCTTCAAAACGGTACATAAAATGAAAAAAAAAAACCAAAAAGTTTAATTAACTAGAAGGAATTTTCTGTACCACGAACCTCAGTTGAAACGAAAAATTGAAATTCAACAATATGGCGGAGTTTTCAAAAGTAGTTTTAAATTTCGCGCGAAAATTTGATGATTTTTGAGAATTTTTGGTAAAGAAAACTACTGCATGAAATGTTCCAATTTGTTGAAGAAATATTCGAGAATATGTAATGAATATACGAACAAATTTTTGGACTAAAATATTGAAAATTAAGCGAGTTATTCGTTATCTCTCAAGGCTCAAAAAAGTCCCCTCACTGCCGCAGTTATAGCGATTTTTAAAACGGTACATAAAATAAAAAAAAAAACCAAAAAGTTTAATTAACTAGAAGGAATTTTCTGTACCACGAACCTCATTTGAAACGAAAAATTGAAATGCAACAATATGGCGGAGTTTTCAAGAGAAGTTTCAATTTTTAATCGAAAATTTAATGATTTTTGGCCAGCCTGTAATTCAAAATTGATGACTCTGATTCAAAAACATTTTGAGGTAGGCACTTGAAATTTTAGTTTTTTATTTTTAAAGGTATAGGTATATTACATATCGAAATATGCAAAAAAATAAATTCGATTTTTTCCAAATTTCACACTAATGGTGCCCCTTAACTCATTGGCTGCCAGACATACTTAGAATGTCTGGTTGTCCTGGGTTCCCCCAAGCTTTTATTTTAAAGAATACATAAAATTTTATAAAATATAATAATATTAATCCATTCGAGACTACGATTTGTTTCCAACACGGTTCAAAGAGCCATTTCTTTTTTTTTTTTATTATATTCCCAATGTCAACTTTTATTTTTTAATAACCTTAATCTGTTAACCGGGGAATTCCCTATTTAATTACTATTTTGAATACTTTATTTAAAATAATTGATAATAGCTAAATATGATTGCATACACGGTGTGCAAGTGGATCTCGAATGGGTTTTGTAATGACATTTACAATAATTGATAATTAATGTTTGTTTACATCACATAAATTGTTTACTCTACCTTTTTAATAATTCTTAATCTCAAATAACAATTTGTAATTGATCTAAAATTGCAGCACACATTACGAGATATCTTGTAGTTGACAGTTTTGGTACACACACACGCATACTACAAGATATCTCGTAGTTGACGGTCAATGGATTAAACCATTAAACAAATTTGAAATTAATAATTTTTCAGATGTACACTTTCTTCGGTAATTTATCATTTACAATGGCTTTGTCATTACTGTGGAGTTTATCTTTTGAAATTCCTTTCATAATACTGGATCGAACGTTTTTATCCCGCAAGAAGAAAAAAACTTGCACTTCAAAACACGATCAAGTTAATAAGGAAAGATATCATTCTTCCATGGACTTTAGAGAGGAAGTTTATAAAACTTCAAAACACGATCAAGTTAATAAGGAAGGATATTATTCTTCAATGGACTCGAGAGAGGAAGCTTATAAAACTTCAAAACACGATCAAGTTAATAAGGAAGAATATTATTCTTCAATGGACTCGAGAGAGGAAGTTTATAAAACTGCAAAACACGATCAAGTTAATAAGGAAGGATATTATTCTTCAATGGACTCGAGAGAGGAAGTTTATAGAACAATTGATGATCCATCATGGTCGAGAGCACAAATTACGAGCACTGAAAATGCAATTGAAATTGCTGCTACATCAGCAAATGATTATATTAACAATAAAAAACAAAAAAACAAAAGTCTTACCTTGCCTGAAGGAAAGACTGAAAATGATAATTGCACAAATGATAATTGCGTTTACATTATTAATGCATTCGAGGTGGACAAAAATAGAAACTCGTATGTTAAATCAGATTTGGAAGAGATACGAACATTAACTGAACGAAAATGATCTCTTCCTTTGTAGAATATTATTATGTTTGTTTTTATTTTTAAACGATAAATAAAAACGATAATTATACAAATTTTGTAATAACCAAGGAATGGCCAATGAATTTGAAGAGGACGACAAGTTTTTAGGCTTGACCTTTGATTCTGTTACTTTCCACCAAATATTTCTCATGCAGATTAGAAAGTAACTAAGGCCGAGTAACACTCGTTTGGATCTACCTATCATCAGCGTTTAAAAACTAGCTAACTATATATACATGTAATAACATGTGCTAACTATATATGCAAAAAATTGGACCCCTAAACTGACTGGACTGGGACTCGAACCACAGATTTTTCGCTTTCCGGGCGACTGCTCTTTTAACCAATTAAACGAGAATAGGAAAAACTATACAGGGTGAATCTTGTAACTGGGACGGGTAATAACTTTGTTTTAAGTAACAATAGAAAAAAATCATAAAGGAAAAAGTTATATGGCACAACAAATGTCAACTTTCTATGACCTTACATTTTTGGAAAATGCATCGATGCAACCGCTAGATGCAGTTGTACTTTTTTTTTAAATGGAATATTTATTTTTTTTACACTATTCGATTTCTTTTTTTATTCTGCGTTAAAAAGTATTGAGTGAAGGTCATCGAAATGTCAATAGTTTACGAGATATTTGATGTTTTATATCAGCAATATATTTTATTACAATGAGTGCTGAAACTCTTAATCCTTTGCACTCCGAATTATATTTCAATTTTGTTTTCAACAGAGTCTAATGATTTTAAATATTTATTTAAAATTTACTTTAATTGAAAAATATGGTAATTTAAATATATTTTAAAGGAAGAAATAAATTAAATAAAATGTCCATTTTATTTTCATTATGTTATATTTTGTAATTTTCAAAGTTATCTTATCTTTTGATGTAAAAACCGATGTCGAGTCACACTCGACATAGGAGTGCAAAGGGTTAATACGGATTGTACACACTAACAATACCGTATTTACTATTTATCCTTGACTGCCAATGTTTTTCTTACTAGCTACAATCCATAACATTTTGATTTACATTTCAGTTAGTTGATTATTAGTTTTCAATAGAGCGTTACGATATTCGAGTATTTTCCTAGATATCGCTATGTCATTCTTTACAAACGACGAAAGAGTAGATATGTTCATTGTGTATGTGGAGTGCAATAAAAATTCAGTTACCGCTAAAGATGTATATCATCAGAGATATCCTAATCGGAGGCAGCCGTAAAGATCATATTTGCACAAAATAGAACAAAATTTGAGAGCACACGGTTTCTTTTGTTAAACCAAAGTGAGTAGTTGAAAAACCAGTTCAATGTAAACAATTAATTGTCAACGTATTGGCATACGTAACAGGGAATCCCAATGCTTCGTCATGAGAAATAGCCAGGAAATGTAATATTAGTTCTGTAATGCGGATTTTAAAAGAACATAAATATCATCCATATCGTTATTCGATAGGACATATTTTACATGTAAGGAATGACATTAGAAGAATGCGTTTTTGTCAATTTTTTCTTAGACAAGTATAACGAAGGGAAAATTTTGCAGAAAGAATTTTATGGACAGATGAATGCACTTTTACTAATAATGGAATGTTCAATAGACGCAACCTTGACGTAACCCTGACGTAAATTCATGGTCTACGAAAAACCTTCATTTAAGAAGAAACACAAACAATCAAATTCGGTTTAGTGTTAATGTTTGGTGTGGTATTCTAGATACATGCGTCATCGGGCTGTATTTTTTTGATAATAACATTTTAAATGGAGCACGATATCTGCATTTCTTAAAATTTACATTACCTACTCTTCTTGATGATTAATTGTGACAAAGATTAAAATTAAAATATTATCAACAAGATGGTGCTCCAGCTTATAACGTTCAAATTGTAATGAGATACTTGAACACAATCTACCAAGAAAATTGGTTTGGTACCCGTAGTCCAACACCTTGACCACCTTGTTCTCCGGACTTGAACTCTTTAGACTTTTTTCTTTGGGGTTATTTAAAAGATAAAGTGTATTCACGTCCTTTTATATTAGTCGATGATTTAAAGGAGCGTATAAAAATGTATTGTTCCAATATAAATTCAAATTAATTAAAAAATGTAAAGAAGCGCATTAGAAAATGTTTAGAATGTAATGGAAGAACATTCGAACATTTATTGTAATAAAATACATTGCTGGTATAAAACATTACGTATATACAGGAATATTGAAAGTATACGCACAAGAAATAACAATTAAATCGATTCAACGAACTTAATTTTAATTTTTTTTCAATACAAAAGAAATGTTATTCTATACGAAATAATTTATCAATTTATTTTACAAATGCGTCTGTATCAACAATTATGCTTTATTTAAATATGTCTGTTCATTCTGTAAATATCTGTACAGTACTAGATAAATATTGTAATATAAATAGATCGTATGTAGGTAATATTATTTAGAGAAATTTATATACGTTATTTTATATTTATTTTATTGAAAAAACTAAATCGATTGTCTTCTTAACACATTGCGTACGGGAGACGAGATATCACGTCTTTAGCAAAACGAACGTTGCGTAAGGGTCACGAGATATCTCGTTTTCATGATTTAATTAATGATGGAATCAAAATTTGATTTTCTTATTACTAACGTAATAAGAAAACACCAGGTTAACGGAGTCTCGTGTATTATCCTAATCTCTAATTAATGAAAAAAATTAATATTAATATTAATCAATGGATCATTACAGCTATTGCAACAGTAGCTCTGTATCCTACCTTATAAAGTGTTTTATTGTTGTACATCATATTGTTATTTTAAAAATCGTGTTTTACTTTATAAAGAAATAGCTTCTTAAAAATTATTTATATTTGTAGTTTTTTAAATGATAATAAAAAATTAGAATTATTTTATGAAATAGACTTTAATTCTAAAATAGTAGCAAAATGACGAATAGAAGTAAAAAAAATAAAAATCAATGTGAATTGCTGTTTGATGATTTATCTGATGAATCAAATAATAGACAAAAATAAACGAAAATGAACTTAGTGATAATAGAAAAATTCTTGAATTGAGTAATGTTATTAGACATAGAACTACACCCAAAAATGTGCGATTCCTTTTCAGGGTATTCGCGTGTTGCGCAAACAGTGTGCCGTACGCAATGTGTTAAATTATACTTAACAAATACTCTTTTGGGTTCGATTATTTTTTTAAACTGATTGAAATAAAATGAAAGTATTTTTTTATATCTTGCCCTATTACTTTCTTCTTTTTCATTGTAGAGTACAAAATATTGAAAAATATTGAATACATGTATATTTAATATTAACAAGACATTGAATCTCTTTTTAATATTAAATACATATGTTATCAATATTTTTTAATATTTTGTGCTACTAGGGACATTAATGAATGATATAGGAAATCATTTACAATTGGTTGAATTGTAAGAAGTCTCGAGAATATTCTATTACAAATTGAAATGTCGAAACCGTCACCGAGGATGGTCGTTGTTTATTTAGGCCACCGTTTTCGTGTCTCCCTGTCGTTTCTCCTCACGCCTTTGTGACTGCCCGTTGACGAGTTTATCCTCTCTTCGGTATAAGGCCTTTTAAGCGAACAGATTTGGGATAAAGCAAGTTAAGAAAAATGACAATGCAACGCTTGTTCTATTCGCGGTAGTAATCGATATGTCGAGAACATTTTTCAGAAATGAATTTCCATGTTCTTTGGGTGTTGAATCGTTTGAAAATACCCAATCTCATTGTAAATTTTCTTTTTTTTTCTATCCATTTACCAAAATATAGTATAATCTAACGAATACTTCTCGATTACAGGAACAATGGAGTTTATTACGTCATCATTCACACGTATACATTATATCTAATTGTATTAGAATTATAAAAAGGATGTGCAGGAGTCATTTAATGGAGTCATCAAAATTCGATTATGGGAAATGTTTGGGCACGCGCAGAAAAACACCCTTGGGACTTTAATGTTTGACTTAGGTTAGTGGGAAAAATATAAGCTTTAGTGAACGCGATTTTCAAAATGATTTGATACGATATTCATTTTATTTATGTGTAAAAGACGTATCTCGTTAAATGTCGACGAGAAAGTAGTCGTCCCTTCTTCGTAGCAGTAATCAATTTATGCGATTAACTAAAACCAAACGCGCCTAGAATATCACCAATTGTGGTGGTGCAATCCGCAGACGCAACGTTTTCCAAAGCACCCCACGAGTGGCGTCCCGCAGCGAGAAACAGAAAGAAAGGAAGTGAATTCGATGGGACACCGTGACGATGACGACGACTACGGGTGCTCGACATCTGGGATGAGATGGTTCTCTGTGTTTTTCCGCAATGCGAACGCAACAATATGACGAGTCGGAATTATTTCCTTTGTTTCCTCTTCACCCCTACAATTCCCCTCCCCCTTGTGCATATCCTTTATAGTCCTACTCGAGTTTGCGCACTTTAGGTGAGATGAAGATAAACGATTATTTTTTTTTCACGCGTTATTAGCAGTTTAACTTTTGTTCGATGCAAATGATTGAGCATTTATCGAAAATCCTTGATGCATCTCGTTAATTTGAAGCTGTATAAACAAATATTCATTTCAATTCATTTATTTTATAATATAAGATAAGAAAGTAACAAGATAAAAAAATAAAAGAAATAAATTATACCTCTTCGACTCTGAAGTCTTCGATGCTATTGAATTTGGACAAATATTCTTGCAATTGCGGATCAATATAAAGACTCGCAGAATTTTTATAATATTTCAAGAAAGCCCAGAACTTCTCTARACCGTACAGTTGTCCTATTATCAAATCAAAYAACAAATAATTARTTATRAATATTTTTGTATTAATGATAWTATTAGGTGAACYGGAAARTAATGTCGYTTTCTAAYMTTAAATTTAAACGAATAAATTTTTAACAAGTTTTTATTTTTAATCAATAACCTAATCATCCCTCGTTATCAACCTTTTTTCATCTAGTATGCAAATTTTTAATACTGGACAGATAAAAATTAATCGGTTTTGATTATMATATAAAAATTGACATGCGTAGAGACGACATTAATTTCCGGTCCCCAATATATAAACATGAATTATATACAGRTAGCTCTCCTACAACACGGCATCCTATAACACGATTACSTTTAAAAAAAAACCTTTGTACAACACTGCATTTTTACAGCCCGCCGCGGCTTGTCGTCTTAAAAATACAGTGTTGCGGAAAGTATTTCCTTTCATCACYATGGCTTGAAAACAAAAGTTTTTGGCTTATGGCTTCTGGGTCTTATACAACACGATTTCACACAACACGGCATTTTCTAGGAACCTATCTACCATGTTATAGGAGGATTATCTGTATATGAAGTATGCTTTTGTCGAGTTATATCGTCTACTAGAAAAGATTMAAATTTCATCATGTCTATGTAGACAAGACTTTAAGTCAAAACCCTTTTACTTTAGCACAATCTTACCATTTAGCTACGTAGCAAAATACCGTAACTAAATAACCTATTATGTGCATGATTATGTTAACACGACCGCTAGTCTATAAATAGGCTTTTTTTTGTCACCGACGCTTACCGAACACAAATTTATTAATCAGCTTTTTGTCACCTACCGAAAATTTAATTATCGGTTGTCAGTGTGATAAAATCACTATTATTACATGAACAGTAATTTGTTATTAGAATCTTATTCAGCATCCTATTAAAATTTGTTAGTAGAATCTGCGGCTGAACTGTCGGTCAGACGTGCATATGCTATTGAAACCCTGGCGGTCGGTAAAGTGTTAATAAAAAATTTATTATTTGTACTCACCACGCTCGTAATCATCTATCGTCTCCAATTGAAAATCTTGATACAACATAGATCTGAATTTGATCTCCAGACCATAACTATAAAATCGAAATAGACAYTCGAGTCCATAACGGTAACCTTCTAAGGCATCTTCTTTTGCTAAGGTTCTAAATTCTTCATACATGGCACGATTGAAATTTTGTCGCAAGAAGAAGGACCAGAAGCGGAAGAGCGTGTTCATTTCTTGAGATTGTCCAATTCCTAATCTTTTCCGTTCTAAAATAAAAAAGAATATTTCGTTTAAAAAAAAAAAAGTACAAATAAGAATTTCGTTAAAGAAAAGAAAAAGAATAACTTCAGATTGTAATTCTCTTCACATCTATCCCTCAGCCGGGAAAAGAAGACATAATTATATAATATTCATCATTTCGTAAATTCAGATAGTAAAATGTTTATCATAATGACATAATTCTCTTTGAATTACCTTTTAAACAACGCGAGTGATATTTATGATAGACCTGTTGAGTAAATCCCTTTTCTTTTAGCAGAGCGTGACTTGGATGTTGGAATGTCGGTAAAGATTGAGGAACACTACCGTAACTACCAGCGAGAAAAGATTCGCTAGGACTCGTTCCAGCGCTACTTCTGTTATTTGGAATAAAACACAGATGTGGAATTATAAGAGAAGTTCTTTTAAAAAATCAGATATAATAAATTATGTATAAAATAAATTCGTACCCAGTAGAGTAAGTACGCGGACGATGTTCCCTAACATCCATTATCCAACCAACGTGATGTTCAACGGGAGGATTGTTACTGTGTCGAGTCTTACGTTTACGTGGTGTTCTCAAATCAACCGATGATTCATCTTTAACTACTGCAAAGAATCTTGGAACTGTACCTCGTCTTATCTGTACCTCATTAATATCATTTTTCGCTTGATCATTCCAATAATTTTTCTCAACTATTTTTTCTCTTTTATTCGAACTTTCCGAAGTAGTAGGAACCTAATTTAAAATATATAATATATATTAAATTTGTGAAAAGTTACATAATAATAATAATAATATTAGAGTGAAAAGCAAAAGTTCGTGCGTTTATTTTATGTTGTTTTGAATAGTGCAATTATTTGAACTCAAAATCATTTTATATGCGAGTGAAAAATAAATTTAAAAAAATTCCTCACGATCTTTTGATAAAAATAGTTAATAATAGAAAAATATATGTACTTGAATCGGAGGAGACTGTGAAATATCCAAATCATCCTCCTCAACGGCAGACGGTGGAGGTGGAGGAACTTCAGGATTGGCTTTTCTTGGAGGTTTCGGTGCCATTTTTTCAAAGTCCTCTTGACTGATTACATTGACGGTTTTGTAATTATTAGTAGAGGATGACGATCCATACTGCAAATAATAATACGACTCGTCATGTTTATGCATTAAAGAAAATGTTATGGAAATAAAAGGTTATCCAAAGGTCATGGTGTACAAGTTCGTTGAATTCGTATTAACACATTGTACGCCGGCGACCTAAGAGACATTTAAAGCCTGAGCGCCATCGTGGGGCAGCTACTCAAGCGACAAACTCAGAAACCCGCGTTTTCGCGGGGCCGGCGTACAATGTGTTAATATGAGCTGTAATACTGTGAGGTCAAAAATATAGAGTGTCATTTAAAAACACAAAGGTATTCTTTAAAAAAAAAAAACATCAAAAAAAAAAGAAAAAGATTTTTTCAAAGTTTATTTATTACAATTTATACTAAATCCAAAACAAATCAATTGTTGTTAAAACAAATTAATTTATGTGTTTTTGCCAGATTATCACAAGTACTTGACAAATCCTGAACATAGTTATTATATTGGGGCCATTTGGATATCTTACCCATTGACCATCTCGATTCCATAAACCCTGTTCGTAATAACGTAATCCATCATTAATTGCTTGTTCGAGATCTTGAGTCATTTTGACTCTAGTAGTCCAAGCACCGGTACGATCATAACCTTCATGTTTAGGTAATCTAGATGAATTAGGAACAGTCATTTGCGTAACTATTAACAGTTTGTTAATATCTCTGTCCGATAATTCGTTATCTTCTTCTTCATCCTCTGACCTGAAATCAAGTTTTCCAAATTTTTCGTCAGTCAGCGATGCTTAACAGTAAAGCTCTCCATGTAAGCCGCGTCAAGCGCCGGTGACTGACATTCAACTTCTTTTTCAATACAAAGTAACGCCCGTGGCCTGACAGGGATTTCTTTAAGAATTTGCATGGCACTCAACTTGTTAACTGTTAACTAACTATCACTCAATATACCGCATCGATCCTAGTGACACCGTACAAGTAGTTGCACAACATTCAGTGGAGCCGGAATGGAGTCCCTCGAACGCAAAGGGATAATAGCAAATAATAATTCTTACCATTCCGAAAAAGCATTGTGTCGTCCAGTTGGAGGTGGTGTATCCAACTCTTCATCAAATTGAAATTCTAATTCCTCTCGTTGCTCATTTTTACGAATGCCAATTTTTCCTTTTTCCTCAGATCCTTTTACTCCATCTTTATGCGAATGTTTTGTTCGTCTTTTAACCTATAATAATAATCATGCATAAGTTTCAGGGTGTTATATAAAACTGAAAAATGAAATAATATATATGAAATAAAAAAAAAAAATTAGAAATTAACCTTTCAACTTATAACACTATTCATCCGTGATATGAAAAATAAAATATATTACATAATAAAGATATTAGAAAATAACCTCTTTCCAAGTGTTCTCGGATTTAGAGGAAGGTGATGATGATGATGATGCTTTCTCATCATTGTTGATTGTAGTGTTGTGGTGTTGTACCACCTCATCGTTGTTTTGTACTTTATCATTGTTGATTTGTACTTCTTTCTGTTGAGTGCAATCCTCGGTATGCGTTTTATCAGTCATAGTGATCGTCGATTCGCTGCTACTAGATGATTCGTTAGTTGATAACGGAGACAATTCATTACTTGACGATTCAAGAAGCATAGAATTTGATGGTTCTTCATCGACCATTTGATTAACGACCGCTTCATCGATCATTTCATAGTTGGTTGGTTGATCAATTTCTTCTAGATTTATTTGTTCACTAGCAACGAGTTTACTTGTCATATCCACGGGTACAAATTCAGGCACATTCGGATTAAGACTATCACCACCCATAGTTGATAAGATATTTTCATATTCGTTCATTTTTCCTATTATCAATTGTGATTGGTAACCACCAGCAGATCGATAGGTACGATGAGGTGGCTGTGCACGCGAAACCGATGTTAACGTTCTCGAATAAGGATAAAATTCATATTCAGAATAATTTGGAAGTGGATCGAATATTTTTTCGTTATGAGACTCGGTAAAAGTTGGATCCAATAATGGCCATTTTGTTGGATCCTTTTTGGTTCTTACCTAAAAGCAAAAAAAAAATCGTTGCAAATGAAAAACAAAAACATATGTATTTTAACATTTGGCATGCGAGTATACTTTGCCGTCAAGTTAAACGTGCAGCGGGCATTTTTCCGTGAATCGTGCGGGAGTTTGGTCAAAAATTTCTTGTATCTTATTTTTTGTGTCTTTATCGAATTATATACTACATATACATTGAAAAATGCACAATTCATCATATACATAGCTAAGCGTTTAAAGTCCACTTCAACCGTGTTGTAATTATACGTTAACCGCTATCAATCACAAATCTACTAAATACGTATTTTTACGTGATCCGCGCTCCAGTGACAGATTGCGAAAAACGTACAAATACATTGCCCGCATGTCAAGTGTTTAAAAGAAAAAGACTAATAATTTTGGTTATAGTCTTATAAAAATATTTTTGTAAATTCGTGTAAGGAGGTCTACTTTCAAACTCCATTCATTGGACCATTTGGTCCGAATGGTGTCAGCGAATCCTCCTCTCAAGTTTTTCTTGCACAATAATTCAATCCAATTGACTCATAAACGTGTCATTTGATATTAAAGATTATTTGTGCCCAATATTTATTAAAAATGACATTCTAGATCTTACCATGAATCCTGGACCCATTTCCAATTTGTCAGAATTTGCAATAGATTCTATCACCAAATTCAGATCCTCCGTCATGTTTTGAATTCGACGAAAGGATGCTACTAATGCAATGGGCAAGAATCCATCTTTATCCATTTTACGTCTCAAAAAAATGTCACGTAATAGATTCTCTTCGCTGAAGTAGTATTCTCTAAAAAAAACCGAAGAAACACATGTTATTTTTGACACATGAAATGTGCATATGAAATTTCTAATTATTTGTCTTGAAAAAAGAGAAACAAAAGAGAAGAAGTGTTAAACTTACATTTGATTTCTTATACATTCTTGTAAAAGCAACGCATCCGGTTGAATATAATTACTATTATCGTAAAACAACGTTCCTACATAGGCCGGTGCTATAAACCTCGATTTATCTTGAGTTAAATCTTGATTCTACGAATAGAATGATAAAAATCAATGATTTATAAGTCTGAAGTTGCAATAATCTTACATGGTGTATCTAAAAAGTTCGGTGAATGGTCTCAGGAAATAAAAGAAACAAGAGTTACAAACAAAATACCTTTACTGGCCTTTAAAGTAATCGCCATTGTCTACAATGTACTTGACACCGGTTGTACAGCTGTTGGAAACTGTCAGCAAACGCTTCTTGTGGAATCGTTCGAAGTACTGCGGTTACGCTCACGATCTCCAAAACCGTTGCGAAGCGTAAGCCTTTCAGGGCTAATTTAAGGCGGGGAAACAGAAAGAAGTCTGTCGGCGCCAAATTTGGAGAATAAGGAGGGGTGTAGAAGCACTGTGAACTTGCTTCTAGCGAGAAAATTGAGCATTTTGCTCCATTTTGCGCTCCATGTTGCAATGACACGAGTTCTCACACTGACCCTGTTACCTGGGTAGCAGCGTGTACCACCGCTTCACTACAGTGCTTTGCACGATAGGAAACGTTTGTTGACATGTCCTCCAATGTGTATGCGCGGGTACCTCATCCTTGTTAGCGCGGTTTGTAAAATATGAGACCATTCACCGAACTTTTTAGACGCACCATGTATAAGAAAGTAATAGAAATTCTAGCTTACCTCATATTTCATATAATCTACGTCATAATTAGAATAATCGTTATCGTATCTATGCCTAAAGTTGTGACGATGCGTGATTCCATTACGCCCACCACGCCCTCTACTCCTATAGTTTCGACCACCTCGTGTTGCATATGGGCCACCCCTAATACCGGATCCTGACCTATCATGATCTTTATCTCTCCAGCCTTCTCCATCTTTAATAAAGAAATCACATCAAAATAAATAAAATATTAAAAGGACGTAAACTACAAAATTGAGATCTGTAATCTCAAATATGTAATATCAAATCAGAGATCTGTAATATCAAATATGTAATATCAAATCAGAGATCTGTAATATCAAATACAATTTACTAAATTTCATTTAATATTAGGTGGACCGGAAAGTAATGTCGCTTTCTAACCTTGACACTACATATACCAGCCAGACTATATATTTTGACTGGTCGGGCCATTTTAATTCAAAATTTCTATTTCATGTAACATTTGATTTCTGTAAATAATTAAGTGTTTTGTTATTTAAAAATGTCTATAAATCCATTTATCTATTAAGATCATTATTGTTAAATATTTTTTGTTATTTTTTAAGAGTAAATAAAGACTGGAAGCTTACAAAAAACATTTTTTGGTTATACACCAGTCATTTTGACTAGTGCGGTAGAAATAGATATACTGAAAATGGCGGTATATCTAGTGTTGAATGAAATTTAATAAATAGGTATAGGCTAATTTAATATAAATAAATTAACCAATAAATTTAACCGTAAATAACCTATAAATTTAATAATAAATAACTATTAATAAAGATATTAAACGTGATAACGAACAATTACCTTCATTGTATCTATCTCTTGGATTATATCTTGGTGAACGTTCCCTCTTCCCTCTATTTTTTGCGATATCTATTTCGAGAGGAACCCATTTCTGCTTATTAACTGGAAATACAAAAATGAAGGATATTAAAAAGTTTGAATAAAATTTGTATGTGGATCATTTAGAAAAATCATACAATACTTACACTTTCTTTTTTTATCGTTACCGTTGTCCGTTAGTTCATCACTGTCGTCTTGACAATGGTTCTGTTCTTTATTTTCTTTGGATTTATTCTCAACAGGATGGCTAGGAATTTCTTTAGTATTACTTGTCTCAGTAACACCATTTTGTTTCTGTACTGTCACAGTTGTTTTCTTCTAAAAAAATCAAAATATCAAACAAAGGGATAAATACTTTGAACAAATTTTAATTATAAAATATTATTAATAAAAATAGATATATGTACGAATACTTTGTTTATCAGAGAAAACAGAATTGAATACTCTGATCACTTATATAAAGTATCTTTTATTCTAGCAAACCGTATACACTCGCAGAAAAACGTATTATTATATTTTCTGCAAGCTCTAGCATTTGCAAATGAAATTATTAATATTCATTTTAAACAAATTTAAATATGCCTATAATTATGAAAGTTGTCTAACCTAACCTAATTAAAAATTAAAAAAAAAGAAATGAGTTTATCAGTTATTTCATACAACACATTATGTTACAACTAAATTATAATTCAATGTAACTTTCGCGATATGGTCAAAAATGAATTATTTAGATAATGTTTGTTATTTCAATATTACATAGAATTCATATAATGTTCAAATGTAATTCTTTAATTATCTTGAAACAAGAGATATGATTTATGGTTAGACCACTTTCATAATTATGGGCACAAATGATAGATAGTATGAAAGGTATGCTTACGTCTTGAGGTCCCAACGTTGGCCAATCACAAATATCCGAAAAATCGCTTGCCTAAAAAAAAAAGAAAAAAATATTAGATATGAAATAACAATTTGAAAAAACAAAATGATTGTATTCAAAGGAAATGGACCCTTTACCTTTGCATTGATTTTCTTCTTTTCTTTGCTAACTTTAATTATCGCTGGTTTCGACGATTCGGCAGGAACTGACGATCCATTTTCTAAAAAAGAAATAAATCATTATAAATTAAACAAATCTTTCAATGTCTCAATGGTATTAGAATATATGAATGTTTATTGTTTACTAAATTATAATTGGGCAAAATGTAAATGAAATATTGGAATGTAAAGAATGTGCCAAAAATTATAAATGTACAAAACTGTAAATCAAATATTGGAATGTACAGAATGTGCCAAAAATTGTAATTGTACAAAACTGTAAATCAAATATTCGAGTGTACAAAATGTACCAAAAATTGTAATTGTACAAAACTGTAAATCAAATATTTGATTGTACAAAATGTACAAAAAATTGTAATTGTACAAAACTGTAAATGAAATATTGGAATATACAAAATGTACTGAAAATTGTAATTGTACAATACTGTAAATCAAATATTCGAGTGTATAAAATATACTAAAAATTGTAATTGTACAATACTGTAAATCAAATATTCGANAAAATTGTAATTGTACAATACTGTAAATCAAATATTCGAGTGTATAAAATATACTAAAAATTGTAATTGTACAATACTGTAAATCAAATATTCGAGTGTATAAAATATACCAAAAATTGTAATTGTACAANAAAAATTGTAATTGTACAATACTGTAAATCAAATATTCGAGTGTATAAAATATACCAAAAATTGTAATTGTACAAAACTGTAAATGAAATATTAAAATGTACAAAGTATACTAAAAATTGTAATTATACAAAACTGTGAATCAAATATTGGAATGTTTATTAGATGTTTACTAAATTGTTTAATTTAGAATAATAATATAAATCGAGTTATCGTTTTCGTTTAACCCTTCGATTGCAAAGTGCGGCCTAACGATTAAATATAATTTTTCTGCCAAACGTGAACTATTTTTGATAAAATAAAAGAACCACAAAGAAGGCAAAAAGAAAAGGTCGAAGGAAGTGATAAGAGCATATATGCGGTCCGCAACATTCAAAAGTTTGACGAACACAACGATTGACAAATGTTTAGAATAATATTAACACGATTTTGTCCAAACGATGGTGTATTCTTATCGTCATATCTTGTTCTAAACTATGACCTCAATTTATCTGTTTCTCTATCGGTAACACGAGAACACGCTTTTATAAAATACTTTTATCTAATTAAATATATCATCAAACTAAAGTCCTAAAGGAAAGAAAACAAGACAAATAATTAAGGTTAGAATAATAATTTGAAACTATGAATATCTCATTAACGTTATCTTTAGATTATTGTTTTTAACATTAGATCTATTGACTGAACTAATTTAATTCATTTCAAATTATTTTGTTATATATATATTATAACTACATTATGCATAATATTTATTGTTATTATTAAATATATTATAATATTTTTTAATTTGGTCATAATTTGGTTCACATGAGCCACAGTAACGTGTGGCGGGCCCCAGCTTGTTATAAATATAGAAATATATTAATTCCTACCCTTAACTTAACTCTTCGTTCAAACAATGTTTGTAAATCATTAGCAAAATAATAAACATAAAAACATCCATAAATCTAGTGTTAACATTAAATATACTATCATTTTCAGTATACCTATTTCTACCACACTAGTCAAAATGACTGGTGTATACAAAAAAATGCTTTTTAAGGCTTCCAGTCTTTATTTACTCTTAAAAAATAACAAAAAACGTTTAATAATAATAATTTTAATAGATAAATGGATTTAGACATTCTTAAAATGTTACATGAAGTAGAAATTTTGAATTAAAATGGCCCGACTAGTCAAAATGAATAGTCTGGTATATCTAGTGTTAAAAGTGTACTGCCTAAAGGGAATTATAACGTAACTTATCAATCTGAATATCTAAAACAAGTAGAGATAGTAAAATTGCTACGATGACGTTTTCAATTTCAAGAGGGTCGAAATTTTAGAAAAGCTAGAGGAGAAGGAGGAAGTTCACCGATCCCTCCTCCTTCTCTATTCTAGTATCTTTCTTACACACTTAACCGACCATTTCTTGGCAACGGGACAGACTTTTTATCCATGCCAAACTGGTTGAGAAAGAGAAAAAGAAGAAGAAGAAGATGAAGAAGAAGGATGGCGACGAGACACGCGTTACCCTAAAAATTCGACCAAATCGTCACGTTGACAATAAACAACAAGGAAGAAATGCAATAAACAAACTAATCAAGGTCAAATATCATCACGAATGATATTGCGTGGGGAGAAGAGTGAAGTTTGAAGGAAACTTACACTTCTAAGTGTAAATAGAAGTGATTTTTCTATGTACAAAAAGAGTCCACAGATCGTTTATTTTAAAACATTTATGAAACTTTATAAATTTATATGAGTTCATTATAGTTACAGACTGTAAATACAGTGTATAGTAATTAGTACATTAGTACACACTAGTACAGCCATTTTCGAAAAAATTAGGATTCAAGTTTTACTAATAGTCCTATACCATTTCTTTATTTATATATATACAATTCCTTATTAATGTGAATTATTTTAATAAAATAAAAAAATCTTTAGGCTAGGTAAGTTGATAAAAATAAAATTGATAAGTGCAAAACATGATTGCCAATAGAAAAACAGCATTTGCAGGTGTACTTTGTAGAACTCTGCCAAACTCTTTGTAAAAACGAAAGGAGAGGAGAGGMGAGGAGGGGAAAATAAAAGTAAAAAAAGAACATTTTAAGAAAAAGAGAGCAATAGCAACGCATGTTACATTTTTGTTAAATATAAGGATATTTTATTTAATTTGAACGAAAACTGGCATACCTAACAAATTCTAAAACTAACTTGTCGCGCGACACGAATCGTTTTTCGACAATTTTATTCCTGGCAAAAAAATAAACAATCGATTTGTTTATTAAAGAGAAAGATATGCACGTGTACAAATAACGATCGAAGAATATATCTTTTTGTCATTTATTTATTTTTTTTTTTTTTTTTTTTTGAGGAGGGAGAGAAAGGTGTCTTTTCTACGGCCGAATTATACACTTCCGTCGTATTTTATGATAGAAAAGTGGGCGCAAAAAAACTTGCGCAACTTCGGGCGAAATTAACTAGTGATTAACTAGTGACTAACTATGAAAAACGAGTAGTAATAATAATAATAATATTATTATTATTATTATATTAAATTTAATAATAGTTATTATTATGTTAAATATATAAAGTAATGTGTCGTTACTACGCATATCAAATTTTTATATTTAATATTTTAATCAAAAAACCATATGATGATTTTTATCGTTACGATATTAAAAATATTGCATAGCAAATAGAAAAAGGTTGTTGATAACGTGATTAATTAATTTAATTATTGATTAATATAATAGTTATATTAATATAAGGGGGGGGGCTGAAAAGTAATGTTGTTACTACACATGTCCAATTTTTATAATAATATTTTAATCAAAACACCAATTGATGATTTTAATCGTTACGATATTAAAAATATTGCATAGCAAATAGAAAAAGGTTGTTGATAACGTGATTAATTAATTTAATTATTGATTTATAATAACAATTTGTTTGAAAAATATATTCGTTTGAATTTTTAGGTTAAAAAACGGCATTACTTTTCGGTCTACTTAATATTACATTATATTAAATATAATAATAATGATGATGATAATTATTATTACCACGATGACGATGACGATGATTTCAAAGAAAAAAAGAAAGAAAGAAATAAAGAATGGATATGTATATGTGAACAAAAGATAGTTGATATTGATTTTGGTATCTTTATATGCCTAAGAAGGCAAAAGTTAAAGCATAGTCATTTTTTCAAGATAGAGAACGGCGGAGCCTTTAAAACGGTTGTATTACGTTAGTAGATCGAACAAAGTGATTGGTCGAATGCAAATTCTTTCATAATACGTCCTTCTGAAATGTTCTTTTACGATTCTTTTAAATATTTGCTTTTTTTTCTTTATTCTTTTTTTATTATCGAACGTAACAAACACACGAAGAACACGATACTCATTCAAGGATAATTTTCAAAAAAAGAAAAAAAAAATATCGTCAGTCTTTACATTTCGTTGTTTATCGTTTCCATCATATTTCCACTTGGAAGGAAAATATAAACGAAAGGATAAAATGATTAAGGTTAAAATAAATTAGGTAATAGGAAAATAAATGGATAAAAAACAAGGCAGTGGTTCCCAAACTTCCCTAGTAGCACAAAATACATGTGTATTCAATATTTTTCAATATTTTGTTCTACTAGGGTTTTTTTTATCCCACTGTCCCCTTTCCAAGAAAAATATTACTTAGCGCCCCTTGGAAATTAATTTTTTTTTAAATTTTAATAGCAATTATTAATATATATATTTGTAATAGAAAATATATAATATGTATTAATGTTTCTACCTCTTCCCTGAATCGCTGCAGCACCCACCAGGGGGCAATAGCGACCATTTTGGAAATCACTAGATAAGGGAATAGAAAAATAAATAAGGATTAAAAAATTAGGGAATAGGAAAATAAATGGATAAAAAATTAGGAAATAAGAAAAATAAATAAGAATAAAAAAAAAAACATGAAAGAAAATTCTTCTATATAACTAGATCAATTTCTATATAGTACGATATTTTACTGACCTTTCCGATCGAAAGATTTTTTTTAATCGTTCTTCTCTACGACTAAAAACCGGTTTAACTTTTCTCTACTCTCGCTTTCTGCGACACATATTTTAGAATATATGGATCTTAGGATCAAGTTAGACACCAAAATGGGCTAAAGCTCATCAAAGAGAAATATATCGTGAAAAGAAGAAGAAAATGAATAAATAGAAATCTAGAGTAGAGGCTGAAGATGAAAAACGAGTCTCGAATAGCAGCAGCGTCCTTTTTAAAATGTGAATGCGCCGATTAGAAAGAAAAAGAGAGAGAGAAGGAAAGAAAGAAATAGAAAGAGAGAGAGAGAGAGAGAGAGAGAGAGAGAGAAAGAGTGTGTGTGTGTGTCTGGAGCTTAACTACTACTAACGTAACATTGTTAGGGCATGTTTCTTCGTAACTGCATTACGTGAACTACTCTCTCTTTCTCTTTCTATCTTTTTTATAGTAAAAGTTTCAATGTCGTTGCCCTCCAACTCGCATCTTCCTCTCCGATGATCTTAAATATCGTTCCCGTTGCAGTTAACACCCAACACTACCGTAAATATATTTTTATATTTTATTATTATATTTTAATATAATATAATTAATATAAATATTAAAAATAATATTATAATTATAATATTATATATAATATAAAAATTCAGTGTGCTACATTATTGGTTTCCAATGAACTTCGAAACTACTGAAATTGACTTACTTAATTATTTAATTACTTAATGAAATCTTTTGTATTTCATGTGATTTTTTTTCAACTTAGAATATAGGATAGTTTTTATTGCGATTATTTTCTTTTTCTTTTTATTGCTAATTTAATAATTTATTATTTAGAGGTTATCTAATTCTCTAAATTCTGCAAGTTTTCAATAGATGGCACTGTATTACAACTGTATTATTTCAATTTATTTACGTTACATTTTTTTTCAGATTTACATATAACTAATCTTGCTACTCATATTTTTTTCTATATTATCATTTTATGTATTCTATTCTAATAATGTTATTTTGTTTATTGTTTGTCTATTTACATATCATATATATTATATATATTAACTAGATATATCAGATCAGTTATTTTGACTGGTCGGGCCATTTAAATTCAAAATTTCTACTTCATGTAACATATTAAGAATGTCTATAAATCCATTAATCTATTAAAATTATTATTGTTAAACATTTTTTGTTATTTTTTATGAGTAAATAAAGACTGGAAGCCTACAAAAAGCATTTTTTTTTTTCATACACCAGTCATTTTGACTAGTGTGGTAGAAATAGGCATACTGAAAATGGTGGTATATCTAGTGTTACAAATTTTCTTTTGTTTTATGCTGAATTTGAATTCCTAGAAATTATTAATAAATATTAATTGCATTATTAATATTAAACTTCATTAAATAATTTAGAATTATATTTAATTAATAAAATAGAAATATATATATATATTTTGAAGAAAGAAAAAGTATCATCCAATCGTATTTTGGACTTAGTATCTGACCCTCGTATTTTAACGGACCCTTACTCTTTATTGTTCTATCTATAAAAGGGGAAAGAAAGTATCGAACAAACATCGTACGATATGGCAAAGTTTGAAGAATTACGTATTAAAAGGGTATATGTTATTTGTAATATGTCGTCATCCTCCTCCCCAATTCCGAAAAATCTACGAACAAATTTCACACAAATAAAACAAGAATAAAATAAAAAGAAGAAATTAAAGACATTATGCAAATTGGTAGAAAAAAAAAAAAAAATAAAAAAAGGCGGTAGCAAGCAACGTGTCGAATTTTCTGTACCACCTATCCACTTTCTTGCCACGTATGCTACATAGTTGTTGTATGCTAACTCGTCGAACACACGAGATATGATTGGATATATTTTTTTTAATCGTACTGTTATCATTATCAGCTTATCAGATAGTTCTCTCTCGTATAGCAATTAAAACCGGACCGCGAATTTTGTTTTTACGAACGATTTCTTTTTCTTTTTTTTCTTTCTAACAAGGAGACATTACTGGTGGTACATCAACGAATTTTTATGAGCTTTTGTACATCAGTAATACACCTTTAAGGTATTCTCGTTGTAAAGTATTTTAATTCACTTTTCACTAACCAATTTCGAAATTTGCTTTTTTTTATATAATTTTATTCTTTTTTAAAAAAATTCTATTATGTTTTTTGTATAAATTGAACAATTTCTCAAATGGAGTAGTAGTGTAGGTAATGGCGTTGGGTTAGTGTTCGATTCTGCACAAAGTATTTTTTTTTTTTTTTAATTTTTCTACCTATAAATTTGATATAATTGTTTTCTATTTATTAATTTTTAATTATATACAAAATAAAAGAGAATGAAAATTATATAAAAAAAAAAATAGGAAACAAATGTAACATCTTGCGTAAATAATAAAAGACGATTATTTATTAGAATTACAGTTAATATTTAATTATTAGAGTATATATGATTGTTATTTGTTACTATTGAAGTTTTGTATATTTTTAATTATCTAATTAAAAAATATAAAATATTAACTCTGTAATTCTAGTAAATAATTATCTTTTATTTGCGCAAGATGTTAAAAATTTGTTTCCTATTTTTTCTCATATATAATTTTCATTCTCTTTCTTATATATAATTAAACATTAATAAACATAAAAAATACCTCGTGCAGAATCGAACACTAACCTAACCTATAAATGCGACAGGCGACAACGCTACTACCGCGCTACTTGAAAAACCGTTCAAGTTACAAAAATATAAGCACGTGTATAAAAAAAAAAAAGCAAATTTCAAAAATATTTTCCTCAAAATTGGCTGACCAATAGATATAAATATTTTACTACAAAAATACCTTTAAGGTGTACTATTGATATATCAAAACTCGTAAAAATCCGTTGGCGTACCACCGTAATGTCTCCTTATAAGATAACCCCAACATCACGTGACTATGAAACGATGTTTTTTTTTAGCGATTTAATGAAAAGTTTTCGTTATATAAATATAACGTAATAAAATTCACCTATTTTTCGTCATCCTTATAGCCTTTCGACATTCGAAGATGTTTCTATTTTCCTCGTAAGTTTCATTATGTAAAGAATAACCTAACAAACTATGCGTGAGCACGTGTTGAAGTATTGACATAAACAGTATTTTATAATATTATTAATTAAAAGGAAAAAAAATAGAAAAAAAAGTATTATAAATAATTGTAATATTGGTCGTTCCAAAAGTTGTTTTTTCTTTTAACGCAAACATTAGTTTTTATGTTGAATAATATACAGTAAAGAAAAAAGTAATATGGAGTAGAACCAATATTAATTAGTAAAATAACCTAAAAAAATGTTATGTGTGCATATAATATTGTGCAATTTATCACCAGAAAAAGACAGAAAATTTCGGGATAACCTATATAATATATATATAATACATAATGTAATTTATGTATATATAATATAAACATATACATTATATACATACATTATGTATTATATATACATAAATTACATTATGTATTATATATATAATAAATATAATATATTCATTAATTAGTAGTGCAATAGATGCATTTTGTAACAAATATACAACATTTTTCAAAAAATTATTACAATCATTTACATTCTGCCCGTTCACATTTACATTTTACGGTTAAAAATAATAAAAATATAAAAATTCAATGCGAAAACTTACCTGTTAATCCTTGTACACGTTGTTGCTGAGGTTGTAATATTCTTTTCTCTTTTGTCGTAGCAGGTTTGTCTGTAGTACTAGGTGTAATTACAGGCTGCTGCTGAATGGAAGACTGAAGAGGCTTCTTTTTAGTCCATGCATTGACTCTAGGTAAAGGGGCCTCTACGAACTTCTTCGGAGCAGGATTTTGAACTTGATTTTCTTCTTTAGTGTCCTTATCTTTATTAATTTCTTTATTGTTACTAGAATGTTCTGTGCCAATTCTATCGATTCGTTCTTTGTCCTTTGTCATTCTTTCTCTACTCGAGTCGCTAAGTCCACGCAATCTTTTTCTGTGATCCTTATGTCGATGATGATCTCTGTGATCCTTTAACTGCTGTTCTCTTAATTTTTCTTTTCTCCTAGCACTTTTAGGAGCAACTGTTTGAAACTCTCCATCGCTTCCAATATCTCCATTATTTAATTTTTCTTCTTCTAATTTTGGTTCAGTAGAAGATTCAACCGCTTGAGATTGAGACCGTTTCTCGGTTTCTTTAACTGTGGAAATTTTGTCCGATACATTTTTACCAAATTGTACATCTCTGTGACTTCTATCTACTCTAAGTTGCTGTGCTTGCTGTGGTTGTGTGGATGAGGCAAATCGTCTTCCAGTCCTTTGATAAGATTTACCTTTGGCAACATAATTTTGAGAGACCACGTGCTCTTTAGTTCCATTAGATTGTTGAGTTGCAATTTGGCCTCCAATATTTTCTTTATTGTTTCCTTTATCCGAGGAAACTACTCTAGCGTTATTAGCCTCGTTAGAGGCTGCTTTGGGGTTGACTACGCTAGCATAGGATACACAAGTTACTACTACCTCCTCTCTTTCAGCGCTTCCTTGGGCGCTGCTGCTGACCACCTTAGCCGCCATCTTGAATCGCCCGCGCGGAGACAAAAACACGAGGAAACTGGTTGTCCCACCTTTTATTTTCTCTCTCTTTCTCTCACAAATTATTTCTCAACGTAATTCTTTCTTTTTCAGATCTTTCACTTTATTTTTTAACTTTTTTTTAAGTTATTATTATTTTGTATTACTATCGAAATTTTCAACTATGATGAAATAATACGAGTACTCTTCTCATTTGCCGGTTTTATGAATGATTCATCAAATCTATCTTTTCGTTTTTATAATAAATCAAAATAACATGAATCTCAATCGTAATTATGAACTATCACTCAGGCAATTAATAAAGAACAGAATTTTTTCGTCGTGACACGCTTCAAACGCATGAGACATTTGTACGTCGTGAAATATTTAAAAAAGAATAAAAAATAAAAAATTAAAAATAACCGTATGCCCTCAATCGTTTTTACACACGCACGCACTTAATTTAATACAATACTGATCTCTTTTTTCTTCTCTCAATCTCTTTTATAAGTTCGTCGAATATTAAGAAAACTACACAGGCGACGCACTCATATTCAGCAAGAACGATCTTCTTATGCCGTGTGTCTACGCTGTTATGGTCGCGTCGTATGCTTCTCTACTTCCACCGGTATAAGTTTGCTCTTGCGCATGCGCGTCGTCTTATAACTCACCAGACTGTGCTTGGCAAAGGAGAATTGGTCACTAGCGACGCAGGGAGAACTACTAGGAACAGTACGGTGCCACGAGAAATGACTCGAGAATCTCTCCCTCTATCTTACAATTCTTTTACTATAACCTTTCTACACCACGTGTCTTTTACGATTCGCCCATATATTTGAATGAATATTGCCTTTATTGAAAAAGAAAATGAGTACCACTGATTCAATGTGAATGATGCTAAAAGAGAGAGAAGTAAAGAGAGAAAAAAAAGAGACGTGGTTCGTCTTGCACCACGAGGTCTAAAATATTACCACGATCTCTTGTAATTTGGATTACACGATTACGATGAAAAATAGTTTTTTCTTCTTTCCATTTAATCGTCTTTGGGTACTTTTCGTATCAATGAAAAGAGAATAGACGTTGATCAAGCAAATAAGTACGTACCACACGTGCTGAGACAATTTTAAGTAGAAGAAAAGTAGTAGAATACCGGGAGGAACTTATCTTCTTTTATGGTTATACCCGTACGCCCTAATGTTTCTTCTTATTCGTCGTATCGACACCGTAGATTCTTTTTTCTTTGATTTGCAACGTCTAGTAACATCGTTGTAGCACCGAGTTCTTGTTTATTACGTAAATGCGATGCATTTTCAACAATATTTTAACACAAGACGAAGCAAGCGAAACACATGTAACCGTCTACGTCTCTCTGCTCTGAGAGAGCTAGACTAACTTCCGGTTACTACAGAACACACCGCGCAACAACGGCGCAACTAATTCTTTTATACATTTCGTAAGATAGCGCTACTAATGTTTCCTCTTTCGATTATTTCGCGGGAAATTTCAAACATCAATTTATTACGACAGTTATTCTTCAATCTGATATGTTACGTTTATTCAAATAAAATTAGCGTAACGTGGACAAAAATTAATATTTGTATGTATGTGATAATAAAATCAAAGATCGATTAAAATTTTATTGCTAAATGAAATTTTATCAAATTATTGCCGCATCGTTACGTTCCGCTTATCAAATTGCCATTTTGTTTAAAAAGAAAATGGTTTACTTTGTTATTAAATAATTGAATATCCAAACTTGGATGTTTCATACTCTTTGATATATAGTATTTTTAATATTTTTATTATTATTTATTATTATTTAAACATATGTATGTACAAAGAATATATCATATAACATTTTTTTTCAATTTCAACGTGTATATTCTTATATAAATATGGCAAAGATGTAAAGTCTCGCCCAATGAAAAAATATGGCAAAAAATATGATTCTATTGCATCAATATCAATATAATAAAACTAGCTAAAATTTGGCTAATCTACAGTTTAGTTTACATTCAAAATATTAGATTGCAACGTTTTGTGTATAACATATTTTCTTCCTTCATATTCTTAAGAAGAAAATAATCGTTTAACAATAAAAGTAGATATTTGTTGATTTGATTGAAAACACAATTTTGAAACTATCTATTCTTTCATTAAAAAAATGTCTTTATCTGTCAACTAGGATCTAGAGGATATTTTTTCAATGATCGCTGAAATGCCTCTGCGATAGTTGATCTGAAAGAGAGATTGTTAAATGTGTGATGTTAAAAAATGCAGACAAAGTTAGTAAGGAGTTTAATTATGAAAAACAAAGTCTATACCTAAAGACTTTTTGATGAAGAAGGTATGCACTGACATGACCAGCATCGATGTAACGTATCTCAACTCCAGGCCAAATTTGTTCTAAACTCATGCAACTATCTCGCGGAACATAAGCATCATCGCGCGCACAGACAGCTATAATAAGTTCGGTGTCGACAGGAACTTCGAAATTTTTTAAATGCGTACACTCGTCCATTATGCCACGCATAAATTGCAAAGCTTCTCTTTCTCGCCACTTGCCGTCTGAAAATAGCGGATGCTTCTGCACGGGAAATGAACAAACACCTGTTGCCAAACAAATCTCGATAATATCATGCTTCTGTTTGCATTATTGTTTATAAACATTCGTTGAACATTGAAATGTAATATTCCAACATTCGATTGGTTAAATTTCAATTATTGACATACATGTTAGAGTTATTTGAAAAAAATTCAAACTTACGACCAAATGTTCTTCGTACTTTACTTGTGTACGTATCTGTATATTTGAAAACAACTGCATATGTAAAGAAATATGAAATATACAAAAATAATATATTATCTAAATGAATGAAAGTTATAGTAATCGCTTGGTTAATATTAAAGTAGAAATGAAACACAAATGACGTGAACATTTAAAAGCAACAGTCATACGTTCATACATTTCTTACCTTTAAGTGCTTCAAAATCATTTGATTTTAATTTATTTGAAATAAGATTCAGAGAAAACAATTTTGCTGCAGATTTCTCTTCAGTCGCTTGGCCAATTAAATTATTGCCTTTATTTTTTTGATGCGTATCATCTAAAGAATTATTATCAATATTATTGTCATTTGCTCTTCCATCTTTTTCTAAGGTAAGATTTTCTTTTTTCTCGTTAGTCTGTCCTAATTCTTCCTTTAATCTATTTATTCTGTTCATACTAGCAGGATAATGTTTAGCAAAATGTTGCCCGGCCAAGAACGCATTCTATAAATGCATAATGCATAAACATTAAAAAATATTGTTCCGTAAGATGTTTGTAAGGAAAGAACTATCGAAAACATCGAGCATACTTCTTCATCTATAACTTTCACCATTTTTGCAAGATCATTTTGATAAGATTCATCAGAGAAATATTGATTTTCTAAAAGATTCCAATTTATAGAAGCACTCATTACACCTTCTGTAAAGACAGGTGAGGCTGTTGACCATGAAAGGCACGGTACCAAGACTATAGGTTTTGGCCAATTCGTAGCAGCTAATGATGCCATCTGTAACAATAATATTATAGCGTACAATAACTTGGTTATAAATAAGTTATAAGAAATTATTTTAACTTTATAAATTAAATATACTAACGTGTCCACCCATCGATAAACCTGTTAGACCCAATGGTCCAAATCCTTGCTGTTCGCACCAATTCAATAAAACAATAGATTCCATTATTAAGCAACCTCCCATAATAAAAATGTCGCTGACGTTATGTAAACTTGAACGTCTATGTAATGTTAACAAAAATATTTACAAAGACGATAACGATCAATAGAATCGTTATGTAATTTTATTTAGTACAAACCTTGAAAAACTGATTTCTTACATTTGATCTTTTGGTTTTCTTAATCCATAAAATGGATTTTCCAAAAGTATAGAAGCGATTCCTGATTCCTTAAGCAATGGTTTAGCAATTAAGTTTCTCCGTCGCCAAAAAAACTAATTTAAAAGTAATAAATCATCAGGATGATTCAAATTTTATGCAATTACATAAAAAGGTCAATTATGGAATGTTAAATGAATTAAAGACAACGTTAATTGATAAACATACGTGATCTCCTGTTCCAGCAAGATGTAAACAAATAGGCTTTATTTTGTTAGAGTTCCATTTGTGTGGTAAAATAACTTGGAAATATGCTGTTTTTATTTTTTCCGGCATCATTCCTGAGAGATATTGATCAAATGGAGAAATAAAGGAACCTTCTATTATATGGCAGTCAGACCATTGTTCATCCTGTTAAATAAAAATGAAAGAAAAATCATGACAATATTGAAATCTTAATTTATTCTCAACTTACCTTGGTTATATTTATTGGATAATTACGTGGTATAAGATTATAACAAGTTTCTCTATTTGCTATAACTTTTCTAAATTCAAATATCCTAAAATTAAATTTAAACGTTATTATCGTATACATCGTTGGAACAAATATTTTCTGATTCACAACTATTATTAACTATTCTTATTTATATATGAACTTTTTATTATATAGTAACATAACCAAGTTTACTTGCCTTTTCAAATTTTGAGGATTGCCCCATCCCTTTGTAAAAAACTTAGTTAGAAGAATACTTCTGTAAACGGCATCTAAACGACTCGGTGGCATTATTATTAATTAATCGATATTTTTGCGATCAACTATAAGTTAGATTGGTTAAAAAATAACTTGGATGAATTTTAATACAGATTTAAATCCATTTTTGTACTTTGACGCATGTTTGATCATCTTATTCTTTGATTAACTAAACGACATATCGCATTTAATCCTATTTTTATTATCGCCTGAAAAAAGATTTGAAGGTGTTGAACGGATAATACAATTAGGTGAACCAAAAAAGATCCATAAGTATATATTATGTTTACACGTAAGTAATCTACATATACATATATACATATATACATACATACATATATATACATGTATATAGATTAGGTGTTTTGAGATCGACGCGATGGCGTGGTGACCTTCTTGATACGAGAAAGAATGTCCCAACATTACGGTGCCGACAATATTTATTTTCTCTCTCTTCCAAAACACTTTGTTCAATCTGCGCATGCTTGAAATTTCTCTAAAATATCAGTAGTGGGGACATAAACTGGAGAATAATTTTGTGGTTAAAATTGTGTTTATAGTATTATTCATTATTATAATTCAGAAAAATAGTCCTAAATTTTTAAAAATTTGTGATTTTAATTTATCAATATTCCAACAACTAATTATTAAAAAATGGTGAACTCGTGTTATTTATGCAATTAAAAAAGCATCTAGAGCTGACAATATTTCATTGCATAGGTAAGTGCAAATTATTTCCAATTTTTTAAATAACAAAGTTTTTTATGTTCAGAATAATATTTAAATTTTAACGAATTTAGATTTCCAAACAAAATTGGACATACGTACAAAGTGGCTAAATTGAAATGAAACTTTCAGAATTCAATAAAAATGAATTATTTTTTTACATTGATCTAAGCAATAAAAATAAAATTATTCATTATCATTTTATATTTCAAAAACAATTTTATTTTCCTCATAAATAAAATAAAAAGTTATTATAAAAATATATTTTATTTGAATTACTCGACGTTTTCCCGTATGCGCACAAAGGATGCGCAGAACTGAGCTGGAAACTCGGAGGATAAAGAAGGTGATATTATCTGTCACACTTTGTCCTAACAGCTTCCACTTATGGAAACTATCCATGTGGACAGGAGGATTATTATGGTGGGTAGAGGTAAGGAGAATTATCTGTATATATGAAAGTGTCCGTCGAAATGCATTAAATTAAGGTGGCGCCACATTAGCATCAGGGTTAATTTTAAAGGAAGCGCCAAATATTATTAGAGTAGGATTGGAAAATAAACAATAAACAATTTAACATTGTGTACAAATTTTGTGTACATTAGAATAAATGTACAAAAACTATTTCATTGCAAAAATATATGTACAATTTATATGTACAAATCATTCTTGATTAAACAAAAACATTAGGAAGTATGTAAAATTATTTGATCTTCAGTCTTATTAAATACTGAGCACAAATTTTTTAATCATTTTAAATTGCCATAAAAAATAGAATATTTTATGATAAACATGAGTATGTTCTCAATAACTATTCAATATTTTTGACTTATGATCATGTAACGAAACTTCTCAATAGATTATCAAGTAATATTATGTTTGCATACTCTTCGCAAATACATATATTAATATTATCCAGTTGGAAATGTTTCCTGGTGATAATCAATTTTTGATGTACTATGTAACCTTGCAAGTAGTATAAATTGAGAGGCTTGCCTGTTAAACAAATAAATAAAATCGTTTTTTAATTTTTTTTTTCGAATTTAATAACATCCAATGATTTGAAAATCATGAAGATTTAGTCCTACCCTTTACCTAAAATTTATAACCCTTTGGTGTCATTCTTCGTTAAATTATGTAAGCATTATGACTTCTTCAACACAATATTTATTATAGAACTGATTAACGTATAATCAAAAACGATTTCAATTGTTAAATTAATAAATCTTGAATATAATGGTTAGATTGAAATGCTGTTTCAAATCAAAAACAATTGTATTTTACAAAACTTACCATTCTTTTAAGACGTTTGCACTGTTTAATCAGATTTGAAGAACGTCTTTTTTGTAGCAGTTGTTTCCAAATTATTTGAAGTCTAATTTCGACTCTGTAGTCGATTCCGTAACATTCGACAGGATTTACATCTTTAATTAGCTTGATTTCTTTTATAAGTGTCATCACCAACAATCACATTTTTACAAAGTTTTGAATACCTGAAAATTAATGTAATTATTTTAATTAAATTCGTATGAATCCTCTTCTTAGTATAGCTCATACATTTACTTATGTAAAAACAAGTTATTCTTACTTAGTACTGTCAATCTGAATGCCAACGGATAAAGGCCATCTTTCCACTGATTTCAAGTAATCATATGACACTACTTGATTAATTAATTTTTTCGTTTAAAGGCAGTTCTTCATTGTTAGGAAAAATAACCTGAAATAGAATAATAGTTAATGATTGTTGTAAAAAAAATAGATGTATCTACTCGGATATTAATTAATACATACAGTAATAGATGTATCCTCGTTTAAGCGTAACCGAATTTTGATCTGCTGAGTTATTGGATCCATTCGCATAAATACAAATCCATTGGGCTTAGATACATACAACCAAAACGGCGACAATTTTGGAGCTTCGATTTCTTGTAGATTCTTTGAATCCTTAGATGCGTGTTGACTGAAAGGTGGTTCTATCAAGTCTTGTTCACTTTGAACACCAGCACCTATTAGATTATTAGAAACATCTTCATATGCTAATATTTTCTGTGGCTCGATGTTGTTTTCTTGCATTTAAAACAGCTGTTCGTCTTCAGAGTTATTTAAATGTAAGCTTGGCTTTTTCAGTTCATCTACAGTACTTGTTACAAACTCATGTTCAAATATCGGAATAAACTGATGCTGGATCGTTAGTAAAGCTTCTACTTTAAGTATTTTTTTTTTCCTGTAGGCATAATCTTGAGCTCTCCTTTTATATAAAGTTTCTCGTACATTTTTATTTGTTCCTCTTTAAAATGGAGATGACAGATGTAATCAGTAGCTTTTAATTCAATGCCCAACGAAATTTTCCGATTTTGTAATCTCACCGGTGTCTGTGAAATTAGATAAATAAAAAATGAATATGTCTTCATTGATTAAAAAAATGATAAAAATGAGCAATGGTTTATAAAGTAAATTTTTCATAAAAAATTGATTTACATACTGTTGGTTGGAAATACGAAAGAGACTGAGGCGAATTATTTTTTCTGTTTTTGGATTTACGCCCACTTGGACAATTTTTCACAAAACAAATTTTACCCATAACTGTTTTGTTATTCACTTACTTTTTCATAAAATAAAATGATAAAAAATCAATAAACGTACTATTCACAGTTCACGAAATAAAATCACTCTAGCTACACGTTTTCTCATAATAATTCTTCAAGGTTATATTTACTACGTTATTTTGTACTACGCAAGTAGATGAAATTTTCAATAATTAATTACTTTAGTCGCTAATAATATTAAATTTTTTAACTCGGCATACTTCTACCCTTTGCCTACACCAGCGCCATTCTGGAAGGTTTTTGAACTGTTATTTGTAGCATACAGCTGGACACTTTTTCAAATTTTCTCCCATATGAGATGATTCTCCTTAACTCTACCTAAGGATCCTATGGGAGGGATGCGCCATGTACATTGCTGGGGGACCAGAATTCAATTTTACGCGCGAATGATTCAAACATTGAAATAATTATGAAATAATGAATATCATCAAATACAGAAAAAAATGAACTATATTTAATGATAATTAAAAATTTATATTAAAATAGAATAGGTTACACGAAAAAATTATTATAAATTCAAGCGGTCCCCCAAAATTTTCAGCCAATGGCACATGAGCTGAATATGAATGGCGCATCCCTCCTATAGGATCCCTACCTCTACCCACCATAAAGTATTACATATATGCATTATAACCGTTTCTTAATCTCCCACCACATACGTGTAAGAAATGGATACACAATTCTGACACAGTGATTCATTTTACACGATATACATGCAGAAGAAAATAAATGTGAGAACATTTGAAATTTTATTCCTTGTCAATAATTGGAAAAACATCTGGTCATTTTTTTTTTTAATTAAAAATTTATATTAATTAATTCATTAGAAAAATATTTTTTATTTACATCAAACTATCGATTTTCAATTTATTAGTTTTTTCAATCGAATCGAGAAAGCTAATCGATTAAAGTACAAATTAGAGAATCAACTGGAAATATCAATTTGTTTAGATTCGATATATATCGAATCAAATGTGTTTATATATGTAATTTGATTTATTGAAAAATTAAATAGATATCACATATTTTTTATGTTATAATAGAACAGATAATTTTATTGTTTTCATATAAATTGTAACAACGATTTATAAGATATATATTAATATTATTAGGTTCGGGATAGAGTGAGAAGGTGGGCAGGGGAAAGAAAGAGTTGTTGGGAGTGATTAGGGGAACGGAGAGGATAGGAAAAGTTAGGACAGGTAGAGGACAGATAGAGGAGAACGGGAGATAATGAGAAAAGGGTGGAAATTAAGGGAGGAAAGGAGGAAAAGAGAAAAAGTACGACAGATGAAAGTGAGGTTAAAACTCGGAAGCGACGACTGCGATGCTGGTGAAAGAGCGCGGAAAAAACCTGCATAAAACCTGTCGGCAGTGATCCCAGAGACTGTAGTTCGTCTGATCGACACAGGGGCGTAACATTATCGTACACGCGGGAAAATTATCGTACGCCCCGGGAAAAATTTGAATTACTATAATTTCTCAGATGAGATTTTCAAAATCTGAAAACAGAGTACAAGTTCCAACTTTTTCAAAGTTGATGACCTTCTTTTTTTGTTTGTTTTTTTTTAGTCTTCAAGTTCAAGCTGTCGTAAGCACGGCAGTGAGGGAGCAGAAGTCGATTACCACCGTAAAGGTCCTTAACTTGTAGACTCATGTAACCGTTCTATTGGGCTGTGGTAGTTTGTAATATGTGTGACTTGTGCTTGTGTACAGTGTGACAGTGGACAGTGGACAGTGTGACGTGTGACAGCAGTGGGGTGGGGGAACTAGGAGGCGCTAGACGCTGAGCAAGCGAGCGAACCAAAAAAACAACTTCGAGACATATCGATAAAATTATGTACATATCGAATAATATCGATTAATATCGAATTATCTTAAAATCGAAAATTTTCGTACAGGCTGAATTTTGGATCGTACAAGGCTTCAAATTATGTGACGCGTACGATAATTATCGTACGAATGGGATCACTGGAATGGGATCACTGCCTGTCGGCGAAATAAAAAGAGATAGAACATGGGAGGTTGATGTTGTCTCTTTCTAAATTGCGCTGAGCGGCGCATGCGCATTAGTCTGCTAGTAGAGGTTAAGGTAGCTGGTATCGTGTACGATAAGCACAATTCTAATGCGCATGCGCCGGTACCGCATGAGTTAGAGAGAAACATCAACCTTTCGTTTTTTGCTGCTATATTCATGCAGAGACATTTCCACTTACACAACCGTCTATGGTTTGTCTCCTCTATCTGTAATATCTCTATGGGCATTTCACGTGAAGCGGACAATCACGGAGCCTAGATAACAGAAGGGTGATCGCAATTTATTATAAATGTTTGAAAATGAGGGGACAAATCTTTTGCCACTACAGCGCGTTAGTGTGGCTAATGTCACGTTTTTAAAACCTTGTTTAGTTCCACGGGAATATGACAATTGTACTCACGCGTTAGTCAAAATAAATAACCCAATCTTATAATTAACGTTAAAAATAGCTATAAGAACAAATTTTTTATTATCTTACAATTATTTCCAAGATATTATCGTCAACTTGTTATGTAAATCTATTCAATTTCATCTTACCTAGTCGCAGTTGAGTAAAGGATGGAAAACTAAATTTAAAAAGTCCAATTAAAAGTAAATTGTACTTTTTACAAGACTAGAAATTTCTGTAGCATAAGTAGAGTTAAAAAACATTTGCATCATTGCATTTTTTTATATTAATAATTAATAGCTATCAATTAAGATTATGTTACCTGTTGTACAGTGAATAAAGACGTATTTCTCTGATTTAATTTAGCATTCTTATTACGATCCTTGACTCGTCCACTTGTACACCCGTGAACAATACGTTTATTTATCATTTCTAAATAAATATTACTTTTTATAAATTAAAAAAACATTAATACAATTGTTAATGATGCAGTATTGTCAACAATTGTCAATGAAAAATATGACGTTATAAACTTGACATTAGCGAACATAACGAAACCTAGCGGCGTATTTCCGAAAATGATCTTTCCCTTTCTTTCCAGTCGCGTTTGATAGTTATTTTCCTATGTCGATCGCCCTTCTGGTATCTAGGCTCCTTGGTTATCACTTTGGTTGCGATGCGTTTGTAATATTGTGTAAAAGTAATTTTGTTGTTAATTGTAATAAAATGAATTATTTCGGTAATCGGTGTTACAATCCTTTTGACTTACCTTCTCATACGAAGTCTAAAACTGTTCGAAAAATTTCAACAAGTTTAGCTAAGAAGTGGGGAGCTTCATCTTTTGCTTACGTTTGTACGTCCTGCAGGTTACGCCTTTTGAAAGAAACACCTCCAGATACCAATCTCGTTCATTCGTAAAACAGCCAAACATCGAGTGAATATTCACTAAACTCTCAAACCGAATCATTTGTTCCCGATTGCGATAAATACAAAACTATTTCAACTCAGACGGATAGCGCAGTAGTAGAGCAAGAAATTCTAGGCCAGTTACTTTAATACTTACAATTGCGCCTAAGTCCTGGAGCGAAAATAAACTAGCAGAAGAATTTGGGACATCGCGAAAACAAGCAAAAAAGGCAAAGGAACTTGTGGATCAATTTGGCATTTTGTCATTGCTCGATTCTCGTTGCTAACGTCAGTATTCAACTAGAATCATGAAAATAAACTAAAACACGGAAGCATAGTCATGATATCAGACGATTTAAAACACGACACAGCTACGTTTTACGCTTTTCAGAAACTGTTACATCAACATCTTTCAAACAAAGGTATTGCAGTAAAAAAAATTATATATAGTACAGATGGAGCCTCTTAACATTTTAAAAACCGATTTAATTTTATCAATTAATATTATTACAAAGAAGATTTAGAAATAGAAGCTGAACTTCACTTCCATGCGATCTCACATGGAAAGGGGCCATGTGATGGACTTGGCGGGAACCTCAAAAGGCTGGCAACTCGTGCAAGCCTTCAACTGCCTGCAAATAAGGCAATAGTTTCTCCTATAAGATTATACGAATGGGCGAAAACGGCATTAAGGGACCATCTCAGTGTAAAATTTAAAAAAAGTCGATTTTGTTTGGTCTTATCTTGAAGTACATATAGTTGTGCGTGTTCTGTAAAATTTTCAAATTTAAATTCGAATTATTACGGTCGCTACAACCTTTCTTGGAAAAAGAGATTGGAGCGTAAGTTGACGCGCTCTAAACTTTAAACGCGTTTTTCTCAAAATGCCCTTTTTACAAACGGTGTCACCTCTCAGAGGGAGAGTTTTCAAGCTATCGACTTGAAATTTTTACGGAATTTTTTTTACTTTATTCTTTATGTCCCTATGGAAGCTTTTTTTTTAATTCTTTCTATATTTTCACACGAAAAACTGTTGAAAAACAGGACTAAATTTCGTACTTTTTCTTCAAGCCGTCGCCATTTTGTCAAATTTCAAAAAAAAAATAAAACCTCGATAGGGAGGTACATAGCGGCTTCCCTACAGATTAATAATCAATTTGATTTTTTTCTTTGAGATGCAAACTGCGATCACAATCGTTGACATTTTTTTTACTCACTTTTAAAAATAATTATTAACAATAAGTAAAAATAAATAAAAACGAATGAAAAAAATATTTTTGTATTGTTAAAGAGTGGTCTTATTCGGAAAAAAAACATCCCGATCCCCTTCTATCCATCCAAAAAAAAATCACGAAAATTGACAATTTTTTGGCCGGTTACACTGAGATGGTCCCTTAACAGAAACTACTGTATATTTTTCTTCAAAAGAAGACCTACAACATCAAAGAGATTTTTTGCGACCGAAATTCGCGAATGTTGTTACTATTCCAGGGACTACAAAATTCCACGCTTTTATACCAACAAATGAGGGCTTAATTATAAAAAGCACAAGTTTTAACACGACCCATAAAGTGGTAAATATCGGAAAATAAATAATAACATTTTTTATTAACTTATGGTTTTATTTAACCTTATAAACAAAATATATCTGATTAATTAATACTTCGATATGTTTTTTATTACGTAAATGTCTTTTTTTTTAAATAAAATTATAGTTATTTGTGTATAATTCATTAGTTACAATAGTAAACTGTAAGTAGCGAGTGAGCCAACAGCCCTGAGGAACCGCTCAGTACAGCGCGCCATACGGCACTTTCGTACTGTTTAGTTCATATCTTCTAAACAAATCGAGATATCATTACAATTTTTTTTGCATAATATTTCTACACTACAAGCTATTTTTTAAGATAAAAATAAAAAAAAAATATGCGAAGTTTAATAAATTCACATTTTTTATCTTAACTTCCGGTTTACTAAACGAAAAAAAGTTCAATTTCAAATTTTTATTTACTTCCAAGAAAATTAATTTATATTCTCTAATAAACAAGATTTATTTCTTATATAATCCATTAGATTGACTCTTTTAATAGTATTCGAAAAATCTATTCCTCATATTTTATCAATTCTTTGAAGCCGCATAAATTGGTAACTAAGGTAAAAAAAGCTTCACGGCACGATCTGGTAAACCAATGCCACATCAGCGTGTCAGAGGGGCTCATGCGAAAGAGGTCTAAGAAGTGGGCCACGGACCGCTTCAGGGATCTCTGGGTGCAAGGCCCTGGTATGAGGCACACGAAGGCTCTGTTTTCAGGGCCTTCGGAGAAGCTAGGTACCGAGTTGATCAACCTGGACCGAGCCCAATTGAGGCTGGTTGTAGGATTGGTCACCGGGCACTGGCACCTTAGAAAGCAACTTACGCGACTGGGCCTTGCACAAGACTCGGTCTGCGGCAAGTGTGGCGAAGGAGAGGATACCCCTCTCCATCTCATAACTCAATGCGTTGAGCTCGCGGACGTCAGAAATGATGTCCTCGGGACCACCGACAACAACTTCGACCTAGTGGGCTCAGGGGCGGCCAGACTCCTGCGCTTTGCAAGGGAGTCGGGGCTGCCCGCGGGACCGCTATGGTCATAGGTTTTTCCCCGCAAGGGGCCCGGGTACAATGGTCCAGAGACTGAGCGCCCGGGTAAACAAATCTCAAGGAAAAAAAAAAAAGGTAAAAAAAAATGATATACAATTATTGAAATCTTATAGAAGTACAATCAAGCTAATTATGAACAAAATCCACGATCTTACATTTTTTTTATTGTCCGCTTCACGTGAAATGCCCCAGGAGACAAATAGGCGGATGAGTGAAGAGAGGGGCTTAGGTTGTGAGAAGAAGAGAGGGAGGAAGACGAATGCGGAAAGGATGGTGAGAACAAGGAGTGTGAGCCAGGCGAGGACGGCAAGGGTGAGGGAATTGTTGATGAGAAAAATGGCGAAGGAGGAAGAAGAGGAGGAAAGGGCGTTTCGAAAGAGCCGAAAGATAGTTAGGTCACCTAAGAGGAGTGAGGAAGGTAAGATACGCACGCAGGAGAAGAGGGAAGAGGAGGATGGGCAAGGGGAGCTGATAAGGGAGCTGGTGAGGAGGGAATTAAAAGCGGAGATGCATAGGGAGTGAATAGAAGAGATAAAGGAAGTAATAAGAAAAGTGATAAGTGAGGAATTAGAAAAAATGAGAGGGGTGATGGAAGAGAGGGAGGTGAAATGGAGGGAAAAAAGAAAGAGAATGGAAAGAAGGATAGTTGAGCTGGAGGGAAAGCAGAGAAATAGAGATGACGAAGAAGGTAGTGGGACGGGGGTGAAAGTATGAGAAGGAGTGGAAGGGGAGTTACAGGGAGGAGAGGAGGAGAGGATAGGAAAGAAGGTTATGGAAATGAAGAGGAAGATGGAGAAGAAAGAGAGGGAGGATAGGAGGAGANAGGAGGAGAGGATAGGAAAGAAGGTTATGGAAATGAAGAGGAAGATGGAGAAGAAAGAGAGGGAGGATAGGAGGAGAAACGTGGTAATAAAGAGGTTGAGAAAGAATAGGGCCAGGGGTGAAGGTAGAGGAGGTGGAGGAGATAGGAAGGAGGAGAAAAGAAAGGGAAGAGACGATGTTAAAGGTAAGGTTAAAAAACGTAGAAGAAAAAAGGGAGATTATGGAGAAGAAAAGCAGGCTCAAAGGGAGGAACGAACTAGTAGGGGATGACTGGACATGGAGAGAAAGGAAAATGCAGTGGATGCTGAAGGAATTGGGGAACAGGGAGGTAAGGAAAGAAGATAAGATAAGATAAAAGAAAATAAGAATGGGGTACAGGAAGATAACAATTAATGGAAGGACGTGGATGTGGGATGAGGAAAAAGAGAGGCTGAAAGTCGGCCGGGTGGGGGAGGACAGGGAAGGTGAAGGAGAAGGTGAAAAAGATGAGGGAGAAAGGAAAGGTGGTGAACGGAAATAGGGAGAAAATTGAGAAAGCTAGGCGGTAAGAGAGAGATATGTGGGGGGAGCTGGAGAATAGCGTTCTGGAACGTTGCAGATTTAGTGAGTAAGGACAAAGAATTTTGGAAGGAAATAGAAAAGTGGGAGGTAATAGTTTTAATTGAGGCACGGATAGTTGGAAAGAACTGAGAGAAAATCAAAAGAAAATTGCCAAAAGGGATATATATGGACAGCACAAGGAGCGAAGAGGAAAAATGAGAAAGGGAGAGGGATAGGATGGATGGTTATGGGGGTGAGAACGAAGATGGCTGAATATGGGGATGAAAACGGAGAGGATGCAGAAGAGGGAATCATGATGAGGAAAGCGAAGGCAGGAGAAAAGAGCTGGACGGTGGTTGCAGTGTATGTGAATGGAGAAAATAAGAGGGTAGATGGAAGAACAGGAACAGGAATAGGAACAGGAAAGGAGGGTAATTATAGGAGGAGATTTCAATGCAAGGACAGGAGAGACAGGAGGGAGAGGAGGAGAAAAGGAGGAGGAGGAAGCGAGAGGAAGAAAGTCGAAAGACAAGAAGGTAAAAAGAGAGGGACAGATGTTAACGAACGTGCTAGGAGAGGTTGGTTGGGAGATTCTGAATGGAAGCATTGAGGGGGACGAAGAGGGAAAATATACGTAAACGGGAGGGAGAGCCAGCACGGTGATTAACTACGTGCTAGGGGATGTAAATACGAGAAGTGGTATAGAGAGGGTAGTAGTAGGTGATAAGATAGAGTCGGACCATCATCCATTGATAATGACCATGAAGAAAGGAAAGAGGGATAGGAAATCGAGTAAGATCAGAGGAAAAGGAGGGAAGCGCGGCAAGTGATCTGAGGAAATGAAGAAAGAATATCAAAAGGGGATAAATGGAGTGAAAATAGAGAAGGCCGGGGTGTAGGAGATAGTGAGGGAGACAACGAAAAAATTGAAAAGAGAGATAGAAAGAAATGAAGAGTAAGGGGGAAGACTGGGAAGAACAAGTAGAGAGGGATGGTGGGACGAAGAGTGCAAGGGGAAGAAACGTGAAACGAGGAGGATATTAAAAGAATGGAGGATAGGGAGAAGAACGAGAGAGGAATACAGAAGGAAAAAGACCGAATACAAACAGTTATGCGAAAAGAAACAAGAGGAGGAGAGAGATACGGCGATGAAAGAGATAGAGGAGGCGAGAACGGAGCAAAAAGTTTGGGAAATAGTGAACAGAGGGAGAGTTAGGAGGAAGAGGGTAAATGAGGAAATAGGTAGAAAGGATAAGAGAGAGCATTTCATGAGCCTACTGGGAGGGGTGGATGAAAGAGTCAGAATGGATACAGGTGGAGGAAGGAGAGAAGGCGGGGAGGAAGAGATAAGTGTGGAAGAAATAGTAAGGGTAATAGGGAGGATGAAGAAAGAAAAGGCAATGGGGATAGACGCAATCCCTAATGAGGCTTGGAAATTCGGAGGAAGAGCGGGGTTAGAGATGGCTAGAGTGACTTGCAATAAGGTGTGGAGAGTAGAAGACTGGCCAGAAGAGTGGAAGGAAGGAGTGATAATTCTTATAGTGAAAAGAGGAGAGGGAGAAAAGGTGGGAGATTATAGGGGGATAACGCTCATGCCTTCGCTCTATAAGATTTACACAGCAATCTTGGCGAAAAGGATTGAGGAGGAGGTGGAGAGGAAGGGGCTGGCGCCGCAGTAGCAAACAGGTTTCAGAAAAGGATTAGGGACAATGGAAAATATTTATGTGTTAAATTATTTAGTAGGGAGACAGGTCAGGAAAGAGAGGGGGAAGCTGGTGGCGACGTTTGTGGATCTGAAAGCGGCATTTGATTCTGTGGATCGGAAAGTACTGTTTCGGGAAATGGAGAAGAGAGAGGTAAGAGAAAGGCTCAGGGAAAGGGTGGAAGAAGTATATCGAGAAACAGTAAGTAGCATTAATGATCTAATGGGTTAGATTAAAGCTGTAAATGGTTTGAAGCTCGTTTAAATACGGATTTATTGTCAATAGAATAGGATAAGTTAATATTAAATCATTTTTAATGGGATTACAAACCTGTGATAGGAAGCCAGCGACATCAATGGCACTATTGACATGTGGTCTTGTGGGTCTTAACCAACCTAAACCACTGCCACTGTCCAAGGAGTCCACATGATGTCTTGACTAGTGCTGATGCTGCAATTTTTCATTTTATTAAATTACAATTAATTCGAATAGATTTTGTATATATTTGCATCGAATAGAACGAACAAAACGTTTCCATGTTTGTCATGTTTATATTTTTTCAATTATTTATTTATCAAAGTATATATATATTCAAATACCTCCGAGTATTCCTGCATATAGGGTGGAAAAGGGGTTTGTTTCTGATATAATAATTCTCCTCATGCAATGATCGAAAATTAGCAATGTGCAATCCACAACGTCTATCGTTGATGAATTTTAACGTGACGTCATTAAAAATAAGCCGGTGTTATCAGCATAAGCGAAAATTCAAACGGACAAAGATTGTTTTTTGTGTGTATATGCTCTCACGCGCTCGTGTGTGTGGATTTTGTCTTCTCCTGGGTTTATTATATATCGCATTTATAGATGATTAAACAATATAATACATAAATAATTATATTCAAATGTTAACTATAACGAGCACGCGGTGTGATCACTTCAGTCTTATCGTACGATTTTATTTTGTAAATTTATTCACCAATTTGTAATACGAATTATTTTCCAAACTTTTTTTGCATCGTTCCCATAATTTCAATGGCAGACATATATATATGTATATTGTATTCACAATGTCAAATCTCGAATTTCGCTAATGAGTTTCATAATTTTGATTAAGAAAATAATTTCTAATAATAACAAAAAAATGATAAAATTATAAAATCTTTGATTAAAAGTTAGAGAACAGTTACTGAAACACGTGTAAACCTAACCACAATATAAATTCATAACCATTCATAACCTTATCAAACATTCAACTCTAATGCTTCGAAGGATGTATATATATATATATTTATATTAATAAATAATATTAATACTGTTAATAAATCTTTAAATGGTTATGTTATTGAACAAATTATAGAATCTTTTTCTTTTATACCTTTTTTCTCCACTTTTTACCTCTAATTCTAAACCACACCTTTTGAAATTACCAACTGATGATTTTTGTAGCTTCACTTAGATTATATCCGTTTCTTATTCTCCCACCATATACGTATAAAAAATAGATACGTAATGCCAACTAGCGATTCATTTTATACGATATAAATGCAGAAGAAAATAAATGCAAGAAAATTTGAAATTTTATTCCTTGTCAATAATTGGAAAAAAATCTGGTCACTTTTTTATTTTATTACAAATTTATAATAATTAACTCATATCAGTGAAGCCAGATCGCGGAACATTTCTAACCCTTTTCTCGAGCCCAGCACGCCTCGCACACAGTGAAGCCAGATCGCGGAACATTTCTAACCATTTTCTCGAGCCTAGCACGCCTCGCACACAGTGAAGCCAGATCGCGGAACATTTCTACCCCCTCTCTCGAGCCTAGCACGCCTCGCCCAACAAAATTTACTTGTCGGTGTGTCGGAAAACCGAAAGAAGCCGAGGGAAGCCGAGGTAGCTGCGCGACAGAGGAGAAATACATGGACACAAACACATTGTTTTACACATTGTTTTATACATTGTTCAAATGTAATTGTGTCCATGTATTTCTCCGCGGCGCGTGGTGGGGATATTATTTCTCCTCTGTCGCGCAACTACCTCGGCTTCCCTCGGCTTCTTTCGGTTTTCCGACACACCGACACGTAAATTTTGCTGGGCGAGGCGTGCTGGGCTCGAGAGAAGGGTTAGAAATGCCGCAATGTGGCTTCACTGCTCGCACACAACGAAATGTACGTGTAGGTGTGTCGGAAAACCGAAAGAAGTCGAGATAAGCCGAGGTAGCTGCGCGACAGAGGAGAAATAATACTCCCACCACGCGCCGTGGAGAAATACATGGACACAACACATTGTTTTACACATTGTTTTACCATTGTTCCCTCGACTTCTTTCGGTTTCCGACACACCGACATGTAACATTTCGTTGTGTGCGGGCGTGTAGAGCTCGAGAGAAGGGTTGGAAATGTTTCGCGATCTGGCTTCACTGACTCATACAAAATATTTTTTTATATTAAACTATCGATTTTCGATTAGTTTTGTCAATCGAATTGTTTATAGCTAATCGAATAAAGTGAAAAGTAGAGAATCAACTGGAAATATCGATTTGTTGAAATTCGATAAATATCGAATCGAGGCTTACCCTAGAGGCAAAAATATGAACTAGAGTCTGTAGGTTACTATGCATTACGTATATAAACAAAATAGGGAACAACGTAAAAATAATTTTATAAAATTATCATTTTTTTGTAATTAAATTAAATAAAATGAAACTTACATTGCAGAACATTTTTCTGTACAATCAATTAATGATGAAGTATGAATTTTATTCTATTGGATTGAGGAAAAAATAAAAAACTGCGATTCGGAGGATTTTCCTATTAAAATTAAGAGCTCATATTTGGTGAAAATTTTTTTAAGGTGTCTAGCAACCTATTTTTCGTTTTCCCATGGCTCAGTGAGGCAAATCACCATCCAGTAATGTCCATCCCGTAATCGTATGTTCCCGAATTCAAATCCCGGGGGAAACAAAAAAAATTATACGTCATACACTAATAAGAAATTCGGCAACAACTGGACATCTTTATGACATCATTGCTTTTTTGTTCTTTTGTTTCGTCAGGGCAGCTGAACGTCATATTTATTACGTAAAAGTCTTACGTCAATAAGTGTGAAATAATGAGTCATATTTGATTTATATCTAACGTAAATCCTGACATAGCGCAAAATCATTTTGACGTCATTTATATGTATTTGTGTTTACTGAGTTAGTTATTAATTACTTAATTGATAGTTATTATATACTAATATAAAAAAATGCAATTATGCAAATGTTTTTTAACTCTACTTATGCTACAGAAATTTCTAGTCTTGTAAAAAGTGCAATTTACGATAATAAATTACAATTTACTTTTAATTGGACTTTTTTAATTTAGTTTTCTATCCTTTACTCAACTGCGACTAGGTAAGATGAAATTGAATAGATTTACACAACAAGTTGACGATAATATCTTGGAAATAATTGTAAGATAATAAAAAATTTGTTCTTATTGCTATTTTTAACGTTAATTATAAGATTGGGTTATTTATTTTGACTAACGCGTGAGTACAATTGTCACATTCCCGTGACACTAAACAAGGTTTTAAAAACGTGACATTAGCCACACTAACGCGCTGTAATGGCAAAAGATTTGTCCCCTCATTTTCGAATATTTGTAATACATTGCGATCACCCTCCTATTATCTGACTTCGTAGTTACGTTATTGGCGTGAGTCACGAGCGTTACCGACATTAGCCGAAGATGTAATACATTACCTTGGCGTCATTATGGTGTATACGCACTCCAAACATTCTCTCACTAGTCGAAATTTTTAACGTTTTCGAAATAGTAACATATATTGAAATTTAATATACATATTTTAGCATTTTTTTTGTGTAGAATTAATGAAGGAAAAAAAAGTAACGTGATAGTTTTTGTCAATTGATTTATTTTAAAAATGCTAATGACACTTTTTTTGTCATTTTCTTTATTATTGCTATTAACATGATATTTTGTTCTCATTTAAAAAAAAGTAACGTTATAAAATAACGTTATAAAAAAAAACATAACATATAAAAGACAGATCATAAAATTTAATAGAAGATCATAGAGTCATAAGGATTGAATATACATATATATATATAATGTACCATTTTGTTCCACAACCTTTCTCCATCTTTAAGGGTAACTTTAAAATTTCATCCTCCCAAAACTTTGTAGGTTTTTTTAGCAAAAGAACTTTATGCTATCTACCAGAAATTGGCACAAACCTTTCGCACAACCCAATACTTAAAAGATATATACTCGAAATAATCGATATTAGTTACCAACGGTAACGTGCAACGGTGATCTCATTGACTTTGCCTTTAATTCAGCCATCTTTGCACAATCGTAATTAAGAGCTTTATCTATAGATTTATTAAGAAATTTGGTTGCGCGATCTCTCAAAAATTTGTATTTCATTAACAAACGAATGCTATATCTGAAATAAAATAAATAATTAAATCTGTTAATGATTTTTCTGCACGTGGCCGCTAGCATATCTATTATTAAAAATTATTATCATTGTTGCAATATCATTTAGAATTAGGATCCATTTTGTAAAACTTTCAAATAATAATAATTTGTTGTACAACGATATAAAACACTTTCTTTTCCAAAGTACGATAAATTAATGGCGTAATATTTATTTTTCAAAATTATTATAACTATTATCATTGTTGCAATATCATTTAGAATTAGGGTAAATTTTGTAGAACTTTCAAATAATAATAATATGTTGTACAACAATATAAAACATTTTTATAAAGTACAATGATAATTAATGGCGTAATAACAATACTTACCAATTGTTTTATTTCGGAATTTCGATATGTATATATTTCGTTACTCATTTGTCATAAAAATGTGGAAGGCTTTATCACCTTCATGACGTAATTATTATTACAATTGGGTTAGCAACTAAGTGATTGCGGATTTTAAATAAGAATGAAAATTCAAAATTGTTGCTTAAAAATATAAATTTATACAATCAGGTACTGTTCATTTTTGTTGATGACCTTTTGCTATCGGTCACGCAGTGTCATAATGTAACGTTCATAAAATTTCTGATCTTTGCTACCAAAAGACTGAATTAGGTGTAAAACAAAATCTGCAATAACTTAGTTGCCAATCCAATATTATTGTAAATTGGCAGTAGGAACTCGAAAGTTCATTGCCGAAAATATCAAATCCCGCCATTTTTCCCGTTTCTGATCGTGATCCTTCCATTCGCGGTCTTCGTATCCTATTTCTTTCAGGTCTCTTCTAATATTATCCTCCCATCTACGTCTCGGTCTACCTAGTGGTCTTTCCCCGTTTGGTATACCGACCAATATTTTGAGCGCCGTTCGATCCTCCCCCATGCGCGCCACGTGACCTGCCCATCTTAACACTTTGTTGACCGGTCCCGAGTTAACTCATGTTTCTATGGTCGAACGTTGCTGACCGTTCACGAGTTAACTCGTGATGCGCTTTTTTTCGCATCTCGCTATTTAAAAGGAAAATGCAGCGAAAATAAGTATTACAATAGTAACAAATTATTTTGTACTATTGTTATACTGTGTTAATCATACGAAAAAGAAATATTTAAAGTCTAATAATAAGTAATTAAAAAATACTTATATTTTTTTACTTTTCAATTCAATTACGTAGTAATAGCCGGTCAACAAAATGTTAATCGGCGTGATTTTACGACGTTAATGATGTCCAGTTTGTTGTACAGTAGGTGTATTTCTACGTTATGGAGTTTTCTCCATTTGCCTGTTTCCTCGCGTTTTGCACCGAACATTTTACGACCAACTTTATTTTCAAAAATTCTCAATTTCTTTGTAAGTGACCACGTTTCGGTACCACAAAGGACTAACGATAAGATGATTATCATGTATAACCTGATTTTGAAGCACATAGACAGAAACCGAGCGATGAGTCATTTATTGACAGAATAAAAATACGCAAATTTAAATTAATTTTTTTCTTACTTCATGACGCAATAAAAATATATATTCTAAAGCATTCAGCAGTAGTTATAAATCAGTCCAAATACCGGTTTTAATTTCTTGTATCTGAACATTCATTGGTAGCAAAAAATGATAAATAAAAAAAAAATACGAATAAGTAGTGGAGAAAATATTACTTATGTTAATGCGTTAATTTTATTTTCCCTAGTCATAGATACGCGTTACAAAATTGAAAAAATAAGGTTTGTTTAATTAGATACGTGATATATAGTGAGCTCTATGCAACCTGTTATCATTTTCGCGATTATGTTAACACATTGCATATGGCGCACTGTTCCTGAGACCGCACATTTTTGAGTTTACTTCTATATCTAATAACATTACTAAATTCAAGAATTTCGTTATTATCACTGAGTTCATTTTTCATCTGCAGTATTATTCGATTCATCTGATAAATCATCAAACAACAATTCACATTGATTTTTATTTTCTTTACTTGTATTCGTCATTTTACTACCATTTTAGAATTAAAGCCTATTTCATCAAATAATTCTAATTTTTCTATTATCGTTTACAAGACTATAAATATAAATGATTTTTAAAAAGCTAKTTCCTTATAAAGTAAAACGCGATTTTTGAAATAACAAAATGATGTACAACAATAAAACACTTTATAAGATACGACAAAAGAGCTATTGTTGCAATAGCTGTAATGACCCACTGATTAATGTTAGCATTAATTTTTTTCATTAATTAGATGTTAGGAGAATACGCGAGATTCTGTTAACCTGGTAACGTAATAAGAAAATCAAATTTTGATTCCTTAAATCATTGAGTAAATCGAAAAAACATGAAAACGAGATATCTCGTGACTCGTACCCAATGTGTTATTATAGTCATTGTAAAAATTAGTGTCACTATTAATGATAATGAAAGTATGAGAAAAATAATTCGGAAAAGGGAAATTTCTCTTCGATTAGTTTCTTACTAGTCCATCCGAGTAACTTATCGATCGCTAATTGGTTAAAAAAAAAAGGAATAGCAATGAATAGTTAAAGAAAAAATATTTGTCTTACTTGGTAAAATAGAATGTGATCCTTTGATAAAACGTCAAGGAGGAGTAAAAAGTCGGCATTTCAAGATCCAATAAATCGGCAAATAGCAATAGCATTGTTTCAAAGCTCGGAGTTATTAAAAAGTAACGATGTCCTTGGATGATGCATCTTATCATATGTTCATATTCTGGGTTAACTCGTCGTAAAGCAGGCTTGACCATTTCATCGATATAATCTTGACAGCGCTTTCTTATCTCTTCCAAATTACCATAACACATATTAATTCTTGGTAACAAAACAAAAAAAATAAAAACTAATTAAACTAAAATTTTTTTTTTCAAATGAAAAGTAAAATTAAAATTAATAAAAAAGTAGTATTCTCATAAACTTATACGGATGAATAATTTTAATAAGAGAAAATCTCATGAGTTCAAATGTTCAAGATCTGTTCATTTTTGTTCAAACAAAGAATTATAAAATCAGGAAGTGGAAACAATCTGCAAGTAATGTATTATTACGCGTTATTAGGATGTTTGTTTTAACCTCCAATCCAAGAAAACTCATTATTGTCAGAAATAAACTTGGTATTAGAAAGTAATCGTGTAATGCGTTTAATATTAGGATAATGTCGGATTGAATCAACATTGGTAAGAGTTGTGAACCAGGAACTAACATCAATTAGAATCATATTTTATCTGATAATTATAATTATATATATATATTCATCCTAACTTACTCGTCGTTAACTCCCAAGAGATAAGCGAGACATCTCCAAAGGTAACAAAAATTTTCCAAATTCTCATCGACATTCTCATGAATTCCAAAATAACTGGGATAAAGTACTATAAAGCCCATAAAACCGAAAAGAGTATAACTTAAATCCATTTGATTAATACTTCTTCGTTTGGTTGTAGGTAAATCACCACTTTGTCTATATTTTTCGTACCAATAATCCGTGATCGGATCTTTAGGCATCTTCGTAGAAAAATCTTCCACAATAGGTCGAAAAAAAGGACAGTAAGGGTTATTTATAGTAGAAATTTCTCTTATTTTCATTTTGTCGGTTTCTTCGAGTTTTCTTCTTACATTTAAATGCATCTTTCTCACTTTTAGAATATCTTTATGAGATTTCGTATCTTCACACCAAGGATTTCCCGTGAACCAATTGCGAAGACATTCAGCCGTGTCTAAATACCTTAACAGATGGATATCGTTTAATAATGAAAAAAAAAAAACTATCAATTAAAAGTGTTCATTAAAGGATACCTTTTGAAGGCTAAATAAGGTGTATGAGATTTTTGTGTCATTATCAAAGTCTGCAAGCCATCACGATCGCAATGCAAACTCATTAAACCATAAAACTGTCCTAAAAATATTGCAGCTAGGTTATCACGAGCAAACTGTTGACCTTTTTCAAATTTTTCCATATCTAACCAATCTGGTTTCTCCAAAACTGCTTTATCATTATCAGGTGGTAAATATAAGAAATAAAACAATTTTTTGTGAATATCTGACGTAGAATTCACATTTTTCTCAAGAATATATTCGATTTTCTTTTTTATTTCTTTATAATTTCGATTGACATATTTACTGTCAAGATTTATATCGTATAACTTGTCAATAATCAATTTGAATTCTTCAACTTCATTATTTTCCTTTTCTTTTATTTTCTTATTTTCCACTTCCCACGAAAACTTATCTATTTCTTGTTGACTCATAGTTCACTGCTAGCTTACTGGTATTCAACTGAATGGCAATGGTTATTTCATCTCCTTCTTATTATACCACTTTACATTTTTACCATTTTTTTTTCTCTGTCAATCTTTCTTTTAGATTAGCACTACCTTTATGCAAAAACAAAATAATATATATATATATATATATTTTTTGTTTATCTGACTAGAATAATTAATAACAGAGTCTTTATCTGAAAAAAAATAAAGAAAATAATAATTAGAATATATATACAAAAAAACAAATTTAAATTTAAAAATCTATTAATGATAGAGGAAAAAATATTAGCGAATATATTAAAGTATATAAATTAAAAATAAATAATTTTAGATTATCTAGTCAATTATAGATTAGATACAAATAATTATTCGGTAATATTTGTAGATACATTTAAATATTAGCCCATACACAATTAACTGTTTTTATCTGAACTACGTAACGACGATAAGTAAACCCATTATATATTTGTCATAATTACATCAAAGGTTTTTTTTTCTTTTTTTTTTTTAAGTTCCATGTTTATTGTGGAATATGATATATATTGTAAACAAGTTTGTTTAAAGTTCTCTGTTTATTTCCGTGCTTTTTTTTTTTAACAACACGTTTCTACATAACATTTATATTAGATTTGAATATTAACAGACATTAAGAATATTAAACGAATCATGTTTGGATTACATTGTAAGTGGAATTAATAATAAATATGTAATTTTTTTTTTTTTTTTACAATTATTAAGACACAAATGTCTCTCTCATAAGTTGAGAAGTTCAGACTCTATTATAAGACAATTAAATAATTTTCCGTTGATTAATTTCTTGTACAATGTAGCCACAATAGACACAGTAATCCATCATCATAGTTATTCTATTGCATTGCTTTTACGGAAAAGTATGCCGTTGATATCCATGTAATTTGCATTCATTTGAATTCGATGTAGTGTTCACCAATAGTAGTCTCACTTACAATCCGATAAAATGAAACGAGATATAAACATAATTTTAATGAAATATTTTCTTAATAAATATCATTAAAGTTGAAAATTAAAAAATACACTCCGACACATTTCGTGTTTGTTCGTTCCCGTTGTATATAAGTTTTATTCTAGTTTATCGATTAATGTATTTCTAGTACGTTGTATCAAGCATGCGCCTATTTAAGCTTAGCTACATCGAAATACGTCTTCCTTGTAAACAACAACGACTATATTAACCTTTAAAATTTAGAAAGCTATTTTTAAATCCTTTAATATATTATATATGAATTGTAATTCAAGGCTAAATATATATATATATGTGCCTATAATTATGAAACTGGTCTAAGTCATCTTATTTCTTGTTTCGAGATATTTGAAGATTTATATTTGAACACTATATGAATTCCATGTAATACGGAAAAAACAAACATTATCTAACGACTCATTTTTGACAATATCAATGTGAAAATTACATTGAATTTATTTAGTTTAAAATAATGTGGTGCGTAATAACTAATAAAATCATTTTTTGTTAATTTTGACTTACATTAGACTACTTTCATAATTATGGGCACATATATATATATGTGTCCTATTACCTAGAATTTTGTAAAACTTTTAATATTATCACAAATTTTACATTATACTTATGTTATTAGAGCAGAGCAACGATTGTTTTATTCAACACAGTTGTTATTATTTGAAACTTACCAATTAGATTAAAAAAACGTAGACTCGAGAACAACGCACAATTTTATATATTATACTACTGAAGTGCCGAAGAAAAAGAGCTTATTAATAAAATTCCAAAATTTTTCTAGTTCTAGCATTTCAAGGACAATTCAACTTTCACTGTAATATCTACCTTATTCGATAATACGTGTCGATAATGTAGAACTCTACTATGTTAAATAATACTTTCAATATTTTATTTTCAAACATATTTTCAATATTTAAACCAATTTTTGATAAAAAATCGTTATTGAATAATTTTTTGCTTATTTTTGAAATAAGTATCGTTTCAGCCGATAACTCGTTTACGCGAGAAATATTTAACGAAGTATATTGCCGTTGATCGGTAAAATCAGTCTGATTGTTATTAAACATTTCTTAATATTTTTGCAATAAAATAAAATCATTTTTTTTATTATTAAAAATTATGTCACATCAAAATGATATTAATGTTAAAAGTAAAATTAAATACTTCAGCTATTTATTGATATTTTTCCTCTCGTCTTTCAGAAGCCGAAATAGCTCAGTTGGGAGAGCGTTAGACTGAAGATCTAAATGTCCCCGGTTCAATCCCGGGTTTCGGCAAGTGAAGTTTTTTTTTTTCGTGTTTACGCGCTTAACGTATTTTTCATCTTTCAAGAATTTAATATTCTTATTAATTTTATTTTATATTCAATTCGTTCAATTTTAAATAATTAATTTATTTATTTCTCGCATTATCAATTTTCGTGATTTTTGAAAAAGTGTCATGCATTTGTCATACATGAAAATTGAAATTTACGAGTTGTAAATTAATGCAATTTTATAGGTCATTTAAACATTAATTGTATTCCGAAAAAAAAGGATTTATTTTTTGATATTCCAAAAAATGTTTTTTTAGAAACAGGATAATATAGAAATAATTTCTATTCTTATAAAAGAATTAAGCATTGTAAGGAGCCTACGAAATCAATGAGAAACATCAATCAATTTGCTAAAGGATCAACTTGATTTTTTTTTTTAAACGGGGTGGTTTACACCGCGCCCTTCGGATTGGTTTATCAATGCGCAGGCGTATCGTTCGTTTCACTTCCTTTAGCTCGTCGAGCTGTTTCGGTTGTTCGGTCCACTTGACAGTCGACAGTCGGAATTACGTTAGGGTTGAAGTCGTGCATTTCTCTCATTGTGAGAGACAACGCAAGGATGCGACGATTGTTCAAATCCTGAGAATACAATTTCTCTACTATTTTCTCTTTTCGAATATATAGAGATTTTCGTGTAAACATCCAACGATCACGATCCAAGGAAAAAACCAGTGATATATAAAAAGAGCTCGTATGCAACACATTCGTTAAAACGTCAAGAATCATCTTTCCATTTTTCATATCCTTGTTTATCTCGCGAAAAAAAGAAAAGGACTATTGGTTATCGTAAAACGAATTCAATGTGATTCGTAGTTCGTGATTCGTGTTGATTTTCTCATATCACGAATCTCAACTTTGGTGTCAACGCGTTATTGTTTTCATTCGAAAAAGAAGGAAAGAAGGAAAATGACTGCTGCTGCTGCTGCTGCTGTTGCTGCGTCGCATGTTTTCGTCCTTGTCCTTTGTCTATTACTTTGTCAAGCTGACTTTTCTCATGCAAGTAAGTTGAAAGATTTAAATATCATTTCGTCGTAGATTCAAATCTACGTTTATTGTATTCATCCCAACTTCGTACGGTTTAACTTTGTCCTGATTCGAACAATTATATACATATATATATGTATATATATTTATTTATAAGATGGATAAATAACTAAATGGGACACCTGTATGTATTATGCGAAAATACAAAAGGACAATTTAACGTGCTTTTCTAATAATTCATTTTTTTTCTTTCTTTCTTTTTTTTTTTTCTGCGAATGTGTTCTCAAGTGTGCTGTAGAAAAACGGTATTTCATGGACGCTGAGTACGCGACGCGATATTAAATGTTGGAAGGAAGTATTCGAGCGCGAAGTAAAAAGTGACCGAGAAAGAGAGAGAGAGAGAAATTCCTAGCCCTCGTATTTTCCGCAAACGTAATCAACTTTTTCCCAAAATTCACTCACACTGTCTTTTCTTCTTTCTATCTCTCTCTTTTGTGTCAACAAAGACGAATTGGTTGACCTTAAATACGATAGATGATTCTAAACAATTGACTTTCTCGATATAACGAGCTTAACTATCGATAATTAAATCAAACAACGCGCTAAATTCGAATAGAATCATAAATCCGTAACCGAAATGAATTTTAAGTGAAATTATGCCAGATCAGGTTTCCAGGAAGAACCTTCCAAGTGTTTTTCCCATTTCACTTATTCGCTCCTGGAAGGGATCGAAAGGAACGTTTCAAGTGTTGAAGCTTGATGCTTAAGGTGGTGGGAAGGAGAGAGGAAGAGAGGGAATGTGCTTAATGCTTGCTTTAATTACGAAATTGGGTCGTCGTGCTTTGCTCTATATGCTGGGGTAGTACGGCCCGCTAATTCTTGCGGACAGATTCAATTAAAGTACCCATTCAAAGACCCCCCCCCCTATCCCTTCGAATCGGTCATCAATTTTTATTTTCTATCTAAGAAGAAAGGTTTCTTTTTATTTTTTTTTTGTTCTCTCTTTCGGATAGAGCAAATTTTACGATTAATACTTTCGCTACTACGGGAGACTATAGTGGCCCTCCATAAAATGCCGCGTATTTTTACATACGACGAACATATGCAGTTATAGCACATCAAATATCCCATTATGGTATATATTAATACCCCATATATATCTCGTTATTTTAGTGTTTTGTTTTTTTTCTCAATTAAAAACTGTTAACATCAACAACAAAATTACTAAAAAATAAAGTGTAGTTTCGTAGCTACACGTATTAGCAGCCTGTACAGTGAAGTAGCGCCATGGAAAACACGCCTGTAGCGAAAGGGATAAAAGGGGTACTATTAAAAATAAAAGGTGATTTTTGGGATTTTTTTTTAAAGGAAACTACTGCATGGAATGTTTTAATTTTTAAAGAGATATTCGTTGATATGTAATGAATACATGACCAAATTTTTGAACCAAAAAATTGAAAATTAAGCGAGTTATTCGCAATCTACTAAGGCCCAAAAAAGAAGTCCCCCCACTGCTGCAGCTATAGAGACCTTCACAGTGCATGAAATCAATAAAACCAATAAGTTTATTAAATTAGAAAGAATTTCTCGTGCCATGAACGTCGGTCGAAGGGAAAAAAATTGAAATTTAACAAAATGGCAGAGTTTTGAGAAAAACGTTTCAAATTTCGCGCAAAAATTAGATGATTTTTGGCCTGCCAAAATGACATTTTTTATTCAATCGGAAAACTGAAGGTTCATAAGTTGAACAAGAATCAAATCCATCAGATAATTTGTCTTTGAATTATAATTGCGGCAAATTTAAAAATGTAATTTTCGAGAAAAAAGAATTTAAAGGTTAAGTTACTAATTTCATCGTAATAAATCAAGAAATGTTAGATGACTGTAACTCAAAAACTATTTGATATATGCACTTGAAATTTTAGTATGTTATTTTTAAAGGTAAGACCAGTGATTCTCAAAGTGGGTGCTACAGCAATTTAGGGGATTGAGATATTGAAGGGTTTGCGTTTTAATGCAATTAAAAATATACTCACGAGTTATACTGCTTACGTGTGTCTAAAGGTGTTCAATTTAGATTTTCTATTAAAATAGTGGCAATTACTAAGTGAATATTATGCGTTTTCTAACCACGAATGGGAGTTAGGCCACCGTCAAAATCAACGATTTGATTTTTTCAAAAATTTCGAAGGGACTTAACTCCACTCATAATTTAAGATGCTTCAAATTGAAAAAATCAATACTGAATTTACTTTACATATCTTTAAAACACTTCAGAAACATAATTTATGCGATTCAAAACATTTTTTAACTACATAGCGTACAAAATTACAAACATAACATATAAAACAATTTACTACTCATCTACATTTTGTGAGTGTGAAAGAGATTTGAATAAATCATGATGCTCCGGTGATATATATCGTAATAGGTCAATTATGTCCTTGAATTTTGCTGTTGTAATTTGTCTGATATTTTATATAGTGGTGTCAATACAATATTTTTGAAGTTTCTTGGTCTACCCCGACGTGGTAATAAATTCAGGACTTTCAAATTTTCATTCTCATTCATTGATGTCTTATAGAAAATTTTATACAGTTCATTTCTGACAAAATGCATCCAACATATTTTTATACCAGTTTATTGATTCTTCATCAAAATTCTTCACCCTTTTAAAAATTGCGTCATTTAATAATTTTGTTCATACAAAACCTTCTTGTCTCATTTTATTTACAATAAAGTATTATCATATTTGCTCGGAATATAAGCAACCTCAAATGCTTTATTAATACATCACATGAAGTTGTACAATAACCAGGTGCAACCGGAAAATAATAAATGACGATTGGAATTAGGCAACTTTCGAAATAAACTTTTCATCATTCCGTTAATCGGAAAAATTTCTTATTACAAAATCTTCATGATTTTAAATATATTTGTAACAAATTGCTTCAGAATGAAAAAATCTCCTAACTCGATTTTTTTGGAAAATGGGGTTAGGCCACTTTCAAAATAAGCGGCTCATATATTTCTTATTAATTGCTATTAATATTAAAAAGAAATTAATTTCCTGGAGTTACTAAGTAATATTATTTCTGGAAAGGGGGCGGTAGGATAAAAAAGTTTGGAAACCACTGGTATAGACTATCGAAATGTGCAATAAAAAAAAATTCAATTTTGTTCATAATTTCACACTAGTGGTACCCTTTAAACTTGGAAATAGAATGCTTGGAAATAGTCGGTGATTAAAAACTATAATAGTTAAAGCGCATTTTACCGTTATGACACTTACCTACCTCACTCAAGCTTTCCTCTGCCCCTTTCTCTTAATCGACACGACGATGACTTTCTCTCATAGGAATTGAGTTTAATGACTTGCTCAAATTGAATCGCTTGGTACCTTCAGTCAGCTAGATAGACGTTCTTGTATAAGTCGAGAAAGGGAAAGTGTACGCGACGACTTAGTTAGAGGCGAGGTAAATCGACGGGAAACAAATTACTCCAACTTTCTGTCAACTTTACTTTTTGCGAATAATCGCTTTTCCATTGGCTACGAATAATACTTTTACCGTTTATTTCTCGGTTAAAAAGAAAACATAAAACAGAGAGACACATTTCAAGAGGATATTACAATATATATTGTATACATTTTGTTGAATACAATTTAAGTACATTCGGTGACAACCGAGACGAGAGAAATCTTGGAGGAAAATCTTTTGTACGCAAACAGACGGACGTTTTTAGCCAATGGGATTTACGGATTAGTATCTATCTCCTTTCCTCCCTTACCTCTTCATGCTGGTCACGAATGGAAAATGAAAATTCTCCTTACAAAGTTTTCCAATTAAATGTCTCATCGTCTATAATAATATTTCGAAATAATAATCGAACGTGAGCAAAATCCATAGAAATTTTAATTAATACATATTTGAAATTAACGAGAGAAACGCGCGAGGACGTTAAAGAAGTAAAGGGTAAAAAAAAAAAATTATGATATATATTTTTCGTAATTAAAGAAATTGGAAAATGAATTGGTTTGGGTGGATGGTGAAAAAATGACTTTTGTTTGACATTACTTCTTACCTTATCGAGAGGAATAATAATACAACAGGTTGATCTTCATTCGAGAAATCTAGCGAGAAATCAGATATATGTGTACAGGCATCCCTTGAATAGCACGGTACTTGAATTGCAAGAAGTCGCGAATAGCACAGTGGAAAATTGCGACAATCCTCGAATAACACTGAGTTTGAATTACACGAAGTCTCGAAAATTGCTGTTAAATATTAGGTCGATAACACTTACATATGCACATATACATATCGTCGGCTTACCAGAAAAACCGGCTGCCTGTAGTACGATCCAATAACGCATACGCAGCTGACTGATTTCTAAGTATTATTGGTCAAGGATGTTTTTTTAATACGATATTATATTTAAATGCTTATTTTCTGACAGCGGCTGGCAAGGTAGATCCAATGTTATGTAATATTTACACTTTGCACTCGAAGCCTTTTTCGCTTGCGCTAACTAGTAATTCGAGACGATTCCGGCAAAATTAGGGAAACATTTTACATGTACTTTAAAATCATTTATAAACATACAAACCTATGCAAATAATCAAATTTCACCAATTTATTTATTTTTATATCAAAAACATCAAAATTTGAGAGAAATATACTCTGTAATCAGTTTTTGTATGATATTTCGTAAAACAATACCCAAGGTGCATCCTTTATCAGAACACGTATCACAATAATATGTTACTTCCCGCCTACCTCCAGGCGTATTACGATCAGAACAAACATTACAGTCCCTTTTTGGCCCTTTAAGTATTATCTTTAAGTATATCTTATTCCACATCATAAATAAGAAGATAGAGTAACAAAAGACTTCCAATAAGCCGGGCGCCGTATTAGTGCCGCTCGAGTGCAATGGGTTAATATTTTTAAAAATCAACGAAGGTCAAAACTGGCGAACAAGTCGGACGCAATACAGCTCTTTTGCGTTATGGTCGCGTCGTAGTCGCGTCAGGGTTGTGTCAGGGTTGCGTCATACTTTAGTTGTTCAAACAACGGACGGAACAGATATTTCCCGAATAGTTTTTATTGGTCATTGTCAGGTTTTGTATTTAATGTTTCACATCATTGGACTCGTCTTGTCGGCTGCTATCCGAAAATAAGTATTCAAATAAATCTCAAATATGACTTAAGGGGACACGTCACCTTCGAGTGCAAAAAAAAGCGGTTTTTTTGTGAACTTTTTTTGCAGCCAGTTTTATTAATATCAATACAAATTTTTGGTATATGTAAGTTATATATCTGAACTATATATATTGACAATTTTTTTTTTGTGTAAAAATATTGTAAATTGTGTTGTCTGTGGCCACTTTTCTAAGAGTCCAAAAAAAAAAGGTCAATTTCGGTTGCCCTCACTGGCAAAAATTGGTTCATCAGAAACAAAAAAACTGAGTGTTATCCTTTAGTAGAGATGTTGGCGCAGGGAATGAACGAAAGGAAATTTTGGTTTTTTAATTTTTCTCAAAATAGTCAACTTTTTGCGAAAAAATTGACATTTTTGCAGAAAAATCGCCGAGTTTTTGAGAAAAAAAAATTGGCATTTTTTCTAAAAATCCTTTCGTTCATTCCTTAGATACGTGTATCTAGTATTACTGTACAAAATTTGGTAAGGATCGGATAAATGGTCTGGACGCAGYGAGGGYAACCGTTTTAAAAACGCGAATAGGAGAAATTAACGTTTACAGTTTTGGCAACTTACTTGGAGCACTACGGCGCGCTCCGTTTAAACTACTACAGTTTCGTAAATAATGCGCGGATCTTTACCAAAATTTGAAGAAATATTTTTGAAATAATATTCTTTCAGAAAATCGAAAAAAAAATCGATTTTTTTGTTGACGTGTCTCAACCTATCAAAAACACTAATGTGATATTGTAGTCCTGAATTTGTCATGCAACTTTTTCTTTATCGACTTTTTTGCTATTCATGCTATTCAGGTGATAAAAGCTGGTGAATCACCCTATATATGTTTGTTATACACATAGGTATATATATAGGTACATAAGTAAATAGGTATATGCGTAGAGACGTTGTGTTACGCATGGAAAATTGGATAGCACGGCGTAGGACAAAACAAATGAAGGCCGCGGTTGAGCCACGTGATTGGCTATCAAGGCGTGCACCATGCGAGATACGAACCAATCAGGAAAGTGGTTTTCGACGAGAGGGCTTGTTGCATAGGTTTCCTGGTTCGATTCTCCTCGTCCTTTGGTTTATAAGCGCGTTATAAGACCGTTTGCAATATCAACGTTATCGCTGATAAAACGGAACGCTTGTTTACTCTTTGATAAAATTATAAAGGAAATGTTAGAGAAAATGTTAACAAACAAAGGACACGACGTTTAAACGTCGACGAGGAACAACAATTGCGTTAATGCATGTACAATAAATACGTAAATATAAACGTATGTCGCTTACAACCCTCTCGTCTGGTTTTGTTTGAATGAACGAAACATTAATTAAAACGAACAAGAATTTCTGTCGTAACTCAACGTATGACAAAGAATTTAATTCAATATTTATTTCGTTATCTTTTTTCAATACTTCATTGTCAATGTCATGTCTTTACACATGTTTAACGAATTCTTTAGATTACATATATTATTTCTTTACAATTTTCTATGTAACAAAATATGCTGTATAATAAACGTACGTTACTATTAATTTAATCTTGGCTGGTTAATGAATAGGCCTGATACTTTTTTTTTTATAAATGAGACGTTTATTTAAAAAGTGGCCTAACTCCAATCGTCATTTATTATTTTCCGGTTGCACCTGGTTATTGTAAAACTTCATGTGATATATTAATAAAGCATTTGAGGTTGCTTATATTTCGAGCAAATATGATAACACTTTATTGTAAATAAAATGAGATAAGAAGATTTTGTATGAACAAAATTATTAGAAGACGCAATTTTTAAAAGGGTAAAGAATTCTGATGAAGAATCAATAAACTGGTATAAAAATATGTTGGATGCATTTTGTCAGAAATGAACTGTATAAAATTTTCTATAAGACATCAATGAATGAGAATGAAAATTTGAAAGTCCTGAATTTATTACCACGTCGGGGTAAACCAAGAAAGTTCGAAAATGTTGTATTGACACCACTATATAAAATATCAGACAAATTATAACAGCAAAATTCAAGGGCATAATTGACCTATTACGATATATACCACCGGAGCATCATGATTTATTCAAATCTCTTTCACACTCACAAAATGTAGATGAGTAGTAAATTGTTTTATATGTTATGTTTGTAATTTTGTAC